TGAGCCTGGATGAGGCACAGTTTTATATTGAGAAACACCCCTGAGAATGGAATGGTTCATAAGGATGGTACTTAGCTGAGTTTGTGTCTCTGGAACTTGGCAAAGGCCAATCATTGCTAATCCAGAGCTGAACAGAATCTCGCATTTTGATACAGACAAAATTAAACAGAGCAGTTCTCAGGAAAACAAAGACAAGACTTGAGGGGGAAGTCCTTATAAGGTTTGTAAAGGTGACCCAAGGAAAAGTTCAGAATTTGCAAGCTGGTCTGTGGAGACCTTTGAACTCCTTAGCCCTCCAGGCCTTCTCAAAGATGAACATATTACATTGCCTTTCCCTACAAAGGTGAGATTATTTTTATGAAAAGCTAATTATGTTCCCTCTGCAAGGAGATGGACGAAAGTTAGATCCTCTCTCTATAGAGTTTTCCTCTTGTAGACAGACAGCACTCAAAATGCTTGGCCAGCTGAAGCAGGTGTTAGCAACAAAATAATTTTGCCAGAGAACAATACAAAACTGGTTAAGTAAAAAAAAAAAAAATCCCAACAGACCTTATTCCTTTGAAAACAAAAAACTGAAGGGCTTCAGTGAAATATCAGAGCTCAATTTAATATGTGCAGGTAGAGACACGGGGGCTCTCAGATGTGCACAGGATTATTGAGTTGAGGGTCTTAACCAAGGTGGGAAGGCTTCAGCAGAGTCTTGGTGGAACATCAATTTCTGTCAATTCTCTCCAGCCAAAGGCCACCAGGAACACACTTGTGGTTGAATAAGCTGGGTTTATTGCTTATTGCAGTTAAGATAAACACACACTGTGGAGAACCATCATGTCTAGTAAGTGGGTATAAAAGGACTTACTGTATAGATTGTGGGTTTTAATAAAGCAAATGAGGCAAAATATATGGGTAAAGTCTCCCTGGATTTCCTATGTACTGTTCTTATTCTTGCAACTTTTCTTTTTGTTTGGCATTATTTCTAAATAAAAACTAAAGAAAATAAATCTGATTAAGCTTCAATCCTGTATATATACTGAGAGTTAAAATTAACCAATGTCAGCTGGGCCCTCTCAAGCCCTTGAGCTCTGGGTCAGTTTGGTACAATCTCCTCTCTTGGTGGCCCAATACCCCCACCCGACTCCGCCTAAGATTTCTGTGATTTCTTGGGAGGGTGATGTCTTTAGAGCCACCCCTGCCTCTGGGCTCCTGTTTTTCTGTTTCATTCCTGCCCTAAGAGTCAGACATCCTTCTACTTACACAAAGTATTTATAAGTTTTGCAGATATTACAGAAGATTTGAGGGTCTTGGGAGCAGTCACACTGTGCATCAGAGAGCAAATAACCTAAAACCATACCTTAGATTTCCTGTTCTTAAAAAGCCTTTGGCCACACCACGACTTGGGATTTCTCATTATCCCTTTGCCCTACATCATCCCAGCTCTCTGCTGTTGTACTGGCTTCCCTTGTTTCTTTGGTCCCCCTCTTCTCCCTCAGAAGCAAAACCAAATTCTCATTTTCTTCTGCTCAGCTCTTAATTATTCTTTTATTGCCTGGGCTCCTACTAACACCAGTAGCTCTCTTAATGGGCTCTTCAAGTGATTTCTACTAATTTTATAAAAATTTCACCTTGTTATGCTAATAGTACAATATTTGTTGTGGTTGATATGAAGATATGCCACCCAGATCCCTTTTCACAGGACATGGTGCCCAACTGTCTACTATTTTATCTATTCCTCCCAGAAACTTTTAATTCCCACCATGACTTGAATTTCATTCTCACCAGGAGTACCCTAGTTCAGATCTTCATTGAACTTCTCCTTGAGCCCCCTAATTGTTCCCACTTCTCCTAGTGACCCTCTCCACTATGCTAGACTGAGTTTCCTACAGCACAGCTTGGTCACCCATCATTTCTGTCCTCCACCACCGCCACCGCTCCCAGCTGCCACCATCTCTCACCAGGATGACTGAAATAGTTCCCCATCTGGTTGCATTGAACCACTCTTGCTTTTTTTAATTGACTCTCTGCACTCTTGTCACATTCCTGTTTAAAAACCCACTTCAGTGGATCCCCAGTGCTCTTGGAGTAATGTAGTCACAGACTTGCTGTCCAAAGGGTGTCCCTGGAGCTTGTTAGAAATGTAGAATCTTGGTCTGCATCCCAGATAATATTGGGTCTTAATCTGCATTTTAATGAGGCCCCCATTAAAGTTAGAGAAGGTCTGTTTTTCAAGGCTCCATATGGCCTGGCCCCCTTTCTCCTGAAGCCTACTCCTGCTCTGTTTTCTCCTTGCATTGTGCTTCATTGTGCCCCTGCCCTCCAGCCTCCATTCAGTCCCTCCAACACTCACCAAAGGGCTGGTACCTGTGTTTCCCACAACCTGGGATGTCCCTCCCATTATCCTTTTGCTTGGGCCTGGCCAGTTCCTTCAGACCACAGCTCAGCTGTCCTGACTCCTGACACTGGGCCAGATCCTCCTATTACCCAGTTGCATTCTTTCCCTTCAGAACACCTAATGCAGTTTATAATTACATATTTGTTTGTGTGAATATTTAATGTATGTGCCTCTCTCCCCCAGACCACAATTCCACGAAAGACAGAAACGTGTGCTTTGCTCATCTTTGCAGACCTCAGAACCTAGCACAGCACTGGGATTATTATAAATACTTAGTAAAATTTACTTATTCATTTACTAAATGAATTTATTCATTTACTAAATATTTATTATGTGTCTACAACATGCCAGGCACTGGCTAGATGCTGAATGTATATTAAAGTGGAAAACCAGACAGTGTCTGCTCTCATTACGGTTGAGTGAGGGTGAGCGCAGATAAATAATCACAAATAAATATAACACAAAAATATTAAAAAATATAAAAATATATAAAAAGTACAACTGAGGTAAATATTATGAAACAAAGGTATATACTGCCAGAAACATGCATGTGGGCTTGTCAGGGATATTTTCCCACTGCTGCTACTTAAATATAAAAAACATAAAATTCAAACATGTGTTTTTCTTTTTTTAGAACAGCTTTATTGAGATATAACTCACGTTATATACAATTCACTCATTTAAACTGAACCTGTCAATGGTGTCTAGTATATTCACAGTTGTGCAATCATCACTACACCTTTAAGAATATTTTCATTTCCCTGTTCCCCTTAGCCATAATTCCCATCCTCACCAGTCCCTCATAACCACTAATCAACTTTCTGTCTCTATAAATTAGTGTATTCTGGACATTTCATGTAAACGTTACATGTTTACATGAAATGTACATACAAAATGTGATCTGCAACTTCTCTCACTTAGTGTAATATTTTCAAGTTCATCCATGTTGTAGCATTTATCAGTAGTTCATTTATTTTTATTACTCAATCATTTCCATTGTACCATGTATTTTTCTTAGCACAGCCATAAACAAGATGCCATTCCACTGTATTTCCATAGCCAAACAAATTTGGTTTGTCATGTTTCTAGAAAAAAATGACAGTAAGTAAATGTTGGCTGAGACTTTCAAGGGTGGCAGCCGTGTTTAGAAAGCTTCTTTTCATGAGTGACTTTATTCACTCAGCTCCCTTAGTCTATTTAGTATTCTGACTCACAAACGGATGTGATTCTATTTTGGCATTCTTTCTCTCTTTTCCTGCACTTAGCTCTTTGGTCTCTACTGACTTGTGTTAAATTATGCAAGTTACTTAAACTTTGTTTATTTAACTCCTGCATCCTCTATAAAATAAGTCCAGTCCAGTCTGCTTGTTTGTCAAAGCTGTTTGAAGACAATTTTTCATATGATGTGCATCATCAGCTCCCACAGAAGGCAAAAGGAATTTGATGTGTGGGGGTAGTCTGGGATCCAATCCAAAATTAGTGCTCATCTGGAAGAAATATGGAAGCCTGATACATGCTTGCTGGCCTTTTAGTCGTATTCACTGATTGCCTTTCCTCTAAGGAACTTTGTATCTTTATCTCATTTGTGCTTTTTCTATATAAGGTAAGAGAAGCTTAAAAAAAAAAAACTGTAGTGGAAAAAGCCTTCTGACACCCTCTATTGACCAACTGTGAACCAAAGAAATTAATTGGTCTGACTTAGCTCTGTGACTTGTGGCAGGATTATCCGTAACATTCAGAATTCCGATTTTTCCCCCCTTAAGACTGTCCTCTCTAGACCCCGTCTTGGGATGTAAAATAAAATTAAAATTAAAGTTAATCATTCATCTACTTTTGCAGTGCTGGGTGCTGAGGAAGATGCAAAAAGAAAGAAAACAAATCCCTGGTTTCCAAGAGCTCACAGTCTAATGGAGAGATAAAGTGCAGTAGGTAAGGTAGAATGAGCTAAGTGCCAGGAGGAGTCAAAATGTAAACGCTCAGGGAGCAGAAAGAAGAGATTATTGCTAGATAGGGTGACAGGCATGTGGATTATGTGGGGATTATTTGAGCTGTGTCTTAGAGGATACTTAGAACTGTTAAATGTAGACATAGGATATAGTAGGTTAAAGTTTCAAATGGACTTCTTTGGGGTGGGGAAGTGCACAGCAAGTCTCAGGTGTGTGAAGGGCAGCTGTGAAAAATAAACCTGAAAAAAGTAGGATGGAGGCCTTGAATACTAGAATAGGGAATCTGTTCTTGATACTTAGGCAAAAAGCAGCCAATGAAAGTTTTGAGCAGTGTATACATCAAAACTGCAATTCAGACACTTAACCCGGCAAAAGGGTGAAGGATGGATTGGCAAGAGGAGAGGCTTCAGTCTGGGAGACCAAACAGAAGGGTTCCGAGTTGAGGCAGTGGGAATGGAAAGGAGGTGACCGCTACGTCTGGCTCTGAACTCTAGGTGTGGCGAAGGCTAGGGGTAGACACTCCGGGACAGAACTCTTGAAGAAGGGCCTGGGAGGAGTCAAAGTCAGGGACACACCGCCAAGGTGACGTCAGGTGGTCGGTTGCGGCCTCCGATTAGCTACTCTGGCCGCCAGTCCCGGGGAGGGGGCGGCGCCCTGCCCCGGCCGGCTCCCGCGGGGTGTGAGGCGGGAGCCGGCTGCGAGCCCCGGGAGTCCCGCACCAGGCACGGCCGGGACGTCGCACGCTGCTGCCGGGGGCCCGCAGCCGAGGTAGGCACGTGGGAAGGGCCCGGAGCCCAGGGACAACCCCAGCGCCTCCGATGCTCGGGATCCCCCCTTCCCGAGAGCGCGCGGTCCCGGGGGACTCGCGTGGCGGAGGATGGGGCGGCGGGCGGAGGACGGGGCCAGGAGGATGCGGCGGGCTGGCGCGGCAGGGAGCAGAACAGCACGGGGACTCGACGTCGCCGCCCTCGCTGCCCCCAGGCAGCCCCCCAGGACTGAGGTGCCGGTTGGGGGTGGCCGCCGGCGCCTCCTCGCCCGCTGGTCTCCCGTGACATTTTACTTGAAAACGTGGGGCCCGGATTTGTGGGGCGGCGCGGGCGGTCCTGGGGGACGCACGCGGCTGCCCCGGGTCCCTGCGCCGAGTGGCCCTAGCAGTTAGGGATGCTGCGCTCGGCCTCGGCGTCTTGGGAGCCCCACTGTGATCTCAGAGGCGAAACTTCTCAAAACTTTTCAAGAACCATTTTCTCCACCTCGAGTTTCTGGAATAACAAATTGCCCCTTAGGTGACCTATCGTGAAACTGCACAGTCCCTGAAGTTATTAGACTGCTTTTTAAAAGACGGAGCACAGGAGCCATAGAATTTGTTGTGGGAAACGTTTTGGATAGAGAAGTTGAACCATTTACGCTGTAAAAGCTTTTATGCTGTGCTACCAACCTGCAGGTCACTGCTTTCTTCGTGAAAATGCCGGTAGCAAGCCTCGACCGCACAGCGCTGTGTGTCCTGGGGGAACTGTGGAGTGGGGGTAGCACCGCTGTTCTGGGCACTGCCTCCGAAGGGCAGGCTTTGCCCAAGTGGGGCTAGGTGGTGGTCGGAGGTTTCTTAAACATGGCATGCCTCAGTGTGGTCAAGAAAGACTCTTCTCTGCTTTAGAAAGAAAAAAAAAAAGTACAGTTACCTGGGTCAGATAAGCTGTCCCTCAAGAGGAGACAACTAAAGAGTATGAGTGGCTACCCTGAGCTTCATCAGGGTAAGCCTAGATAGATGAATTCTCATTTCTTTTTCTTTCCCTTTTGGGATTTGGAACAGAAACAGGAAGTCAGAAATTCAGAGAAAAGAGCATTCACTCCGCAACGGTAAACAGTTTATTTTGTGTCAGTAAATATTTCCGAGTCATTGGGGTATTTGGAAAACTTAGACTTTTTCCTGCCAGCTGCAGTGAAGAAAAATTACTTTCAAATTCAAAATCAAGAGATGATGTTTATTTAGCAAGTGGTTATAGCTTCCGAAGATCTATAGTTACGTTCTATAAAATCAGAGGTAATGGAAAAGGATGGTGGATATTGTTCAAAATTGGAATCTTTAGTGAAGCTAGTGCATTAACAGGACAGTCACTTTACACTAACTGAAATTACAGAATGAAATGAGGGAACCAGGTGTCTAGACCTCAAGGAAGACCATCAACCAATCAATCTGTAGTCTTGAATTTTTTAAAAATTATAACCCTATTAATAGGGAATGCAGACATTAAATGCCAATTTAATAATATTCTTCAAGTTTCACTACTTCACTGTAAAATATGTAATTAGCATACTAAAGGAGTGAATAGGTATGTTTAACTTAGGATTTATTGTGTCATTTTTATAGCAAAGTTCTCTTTGGTAAGATATATATATGAACTTGCCATTTTTGAGAATAACAGTTACCTCTAAATTGAGTTAATGGAAATCTTGGCAGGGATAACCACATTGCATCATTAAATTTGTAAATGTTGAGCTAATATACATCCACGTAAACTTACTTTTTCTTTACTCATTTGTAAATATATGTTTTAAAAACTGAAGCATAATTCACGAACATTTTAAAGTGTATAGTTCAGTGGTTTTAGTATATTCACAAGGTCATGCAACCATCAGCACTAATTCTAGAATATTTTCATCATTCCAAAAAGAAGCCTAAAACCATTAGCAGTAAATCGTCTTGCCCTCTTTTCACAGCTGTTGACAACCACTAACCTACTTTCTGTCTCTTTGGATTTACCTATTTCATATAAATAGAATCATACAATATGTGGCCTTTTGTGTCTGGCCTTTTTCACTTGGCACTTGTATAGTGTTTTCAAGGTTCATCCATTGTTGTAGCACATATTAGTACTTTTTTCCTTTTGTGGCTGAGTAATATTCCAGTATATGGATATACCACATTTTCTTTATCTATTCATCTGATGGGCAAATGGGCTTTTTGAGTATTTGAATAATGCTACTGTGAACATTTGTGTACAGGTTTTGGTGTGGACTTATGTATTTAATTCTCTTGGGTATACAGTTAACATAGGAGTTGCTTGGTCATATGGTAACTTTATGTTAAAACTTTTGAGGAACTGTTAAAATATTTTCCAAAGCAGCTATACATTTTTTACATTCCCAACAGCAAAGTATGAGGGTTCCAATTTCTCCACATCCTCCTCAACACATGTTGTTATATGTCTTTTTTATTATAACCATCCTATTTGGTGTACAGCGGTTAATTCATGATTTTGATTTGCATTTTCCATTATAGCTAATGATGTTGAGCAGTTTTTTACGTGTTTATTGGCAATCTATGTATCTTCTTCAGAGAAAAATTCATGTAGATCCTTTGCCTACTTTTTAATTTGTTTTTGTTGACTTGTAGAAGTCCTTAATATAAGTTTCTTAATAAATATATGATGTGCAAATATTTTTTCCCATTCTGTAAGTTTTCTTCACTTTTTTGATGACATGTTTTAAGACACAAAAGTTTTTAATTTTGATTAAGTCCAGTTTATCTTTTTTTTAATTATTTATCCTTTAGATGTCAAATCTAAGAAACTAGTGCTTAATCTAAGGTCACAGAGATTTATGCCTATATTTTGTTCTAAGAGTTTTGGAGGATTGCCTCTTATATTTAGGTCTTTGAAACATTTTGAGTTAATTTTTGTGTATGGTGTTATGAAGGACTCCAGACGCGTCCTTTTGCATGTGCATATCCAGTTGCCTAGCACCATCAAAAAGACTGTTCTTTCCCCTATTGAATGGTCTTGGCACCCTTGTCAAAAATCAATTAACTATAAATGTGAGGTTTTAGTTTGGACTCTTAATTTTATTCCATTTTTGTATAATATGTCTATCTTTATTGCCATTGGGTCTTGAATACTATAGCTTTGTACTAATTTTGCAGTTGGGACATGTGAGTCTTATCTATAACTTTTCAAGATTGTTTTGGCTATTATGAATCCCTTGAATTTCTATATGAATTTTAGAATCAGCTTGTCAAGTCTGCAAAAAAAATGCAGTTGGAATTTTGATAGGGACTGCAAATGTGTATATCCATTTGCAAGTATTGGCATCTTCACACTATTAAGTCTTCCAATCCATGAACTTGGGATGTCTTCCATTTATTTAGGTCTTCTTTAATTTCTTTCAATAATGTTTTATAGTTTTCAGAGTGTAACTTTTGCATTTCTCTTGTTAAATGTACTCCTAAGTTTTTAATTATCCTAAGTATTTGATACTATTATAAATAGAATATATTTTTGGTTTCATTTTCAGATTTTTCATTCTCATTAGGAAAAACAATCGATTTTTGTGTATCAGTCTAGTTTCCTGAAACCTTAACTGAACTCTAGTTCTACTAGTTTTTTTGTAGGTTCCTTAGAATTTTCTCTGTGCAAGCAAGATCTGACATCTGAAAGTAAAGATAGTCTTAGTTCTTCCTTTTCAGTCAGGGTGCTTTTTATTTTATATTATGGCTCTGGTTAGAACCCCTAAGTACGGTGTTAAACAGAAGTGGTGAGAGCAAACATCCTTGTGTTGGTTCTGATATTCTTCATATCTGTCATTTGTCATGTAAGTATGATGTTTGCTGTGGGCTTTCACAGATGCTCTTTATCAGGTGAAGAAGTACCCTTCTGTTGCTAGTTTGTTGAATGTTTTTATTGTGAAAGGATATTGGATTTTCTTGAATTATTTTTTCAGCATGTAATGAAAAAGATCATGAGGTTTTGTCTTCTATTCTATGCAGATGGTACATTCTATTGATTGATTCTCATTTGCTGAAAAATATAAAGTCTTTATGTTATTTTTAAAACTGTAGACATTTGGCAGTAGAACATACACAAGTTATTTTAACCATAGAGCAAAAATTCACCAACACAAAATAGACACCTCTTGTTGCTTAAGATAGAAGAGTGTGCAAACATTTCTGTGCAAAGATACAAATGGTTCAAGACTTAATGTCTATTTCAGGACTGCTTTTTATTTAATAATATTTCATCCATATTTTCTTTGTCCACTCCAAAGCTAATGAGGAAAGAAATGAAGTAGCAGTGCAACTGAGAAGTTTGTGGCTGGCAAACTGCAAACTCATTAATCATTGATAGTAAATGCCAATATGGGTAATGAAAAAGGTCGTTAATAAGGTTGACCTCCTTAGAAAAGACTCAGAAAACAATGGGTGAGGCTTCTATAAAAACAATAAATGAAAAGAGAGCTATTTCTGGCCTTACAATTAGAAGTTTCCCTTAAATTATGGCTAGAATTTAGGAATATCGCTTTGAGATGGGGTGCTCTTAATAAAGTTGTAACCTTTGTAGAACATTTCTGCTTATGTTTATTTCTAAGTTATTGAGCAATAATGTCACTATTAATGTGAAAACTGGTTTAAGCCCAAAACAATATTTATGCTAGGAAAATAATCTTCTGTGGGTTTTTAGCAAAACAGTGTTTTAAAAACTGGTATAGGTTTAGGAAAGACTGTATTACACTAAATATTGGGAAAATAAACTTGGTCAATATGTGAGAGACACATACTTTTGTAAAACAAAAGGACAGAATAGTACACTTCAAGTACAGGACTATCCTGGGGTTCTGAGTTTTGCTGTCTCATACATTCCACAACTAGGGCTTGGCTCCTCCAGGAGATTCATTCCTAATGCAAATTTTACCCCATCACAACAAGGGCAATTCAGAAATACATTATCAAGCTGTTTATTAAAATGACCTGATGAAACATTAACAAACATTTAAAACAAAATTTGTGAATCCCAGAGCCAGAAACAATCAAGTAATAGTTTTTTGCACTTTAGAATTTCAAAACCAGATCCTCTGCCTCCTGGCTTCCCTCTGAAAAGTCCTTCTCTCTGGGGTTATTTTCCTTCAAAAGGAAAGTTAATGCATGGAAAACAGTGATTTCAGATTTACTCAATGTAGGTGATTCCAAATTTCATATTTATGTATCTTATCTTCCTGCACCAAATAAAAATTGTACAAACTTGTCTAGGATCCTAACACTTTGCTTAATTAAATATGCCAAAGGATTTTTGGCTTGATAGACAGGTTGGACCTGCACAAATTTAGGGATGTGTAAGTACTATAATTGTAATATAAATCTAAGCTATAATTGAAGCACTGGTATAAAGTTTCTTTAGGTTATTCTATTATGCTACCAAGTGAATCAAACTGATAATTCTGTAAATTTAAGAGTGTGGTAAAATTATAAGCTGATGTATTTAAAAAAAATCTTATGTGTTGGGCAGAGCTAAAATAGTGTCAGTACTTTGTGTTTGTATGGTGCTATTCTACTTTCCAAAGTGCTGTTAAAAACAGCAATATTTAATTTGTTTGTCACAACATACCCATGAAGGAGGATGGCTTATTATTATCTGCATCCTCCTTTTTCTGTATTGGGTAAACTGAGACATAGAAAGATTAAGTTACATAGAAAGTTTGAATAACACAGTTAGGCCTCCAATCCTGGCCTCCTGTCTGCCACTAAGTTCTTTGCATGTGCTGTATAACCAGTTCTAGAACCCACTGTAGCATTCAAACTTGTATGTGGATATCATTAGATGATAACTAGAATGTATACACTGGATGATTTAATGAGTTATCTTGAATGCTAATTGGTGTTATGCCATTTGAATGATTTCTTTTCTAGAATAAATATGGCAGAGCTTCCTGAGACAGAAGGACCAATAGATTGGAAAGAACGATGCATAGCTCTGGAGACCCAGCTCATGAAATTTAGAGTGCAAGCAAGCAAGATAAGAGAGCTCTTAGCAGAGAAGGTAAGATTTTCTCCCTAACCTTTGTCATCAGCTATTTGGCGCATATTTCATTTATATTAACCAGTCTCAGTACTTCTGGGGGTAAACATTTAGAAAATAATGAATATAATTTATCTTTTTGTCAGGGCTTTGAAGCTTTATTTGGCATATTCTTTTGCCGAGTTTAGAATGAATTAAAATTAGGACACCATTTCTTTGCAAGTACTAGTGGAATATTTAAGAATTGTGCATATTTTATGAATGTGGAGTTCAGTCATTCCAGAGAGAAAAGCTATAATTTGTTTTATTTTACTAGAGGAGTATGACAGCATCCTAATCTACTAAATGTTTGGGAAAGTCAAGTTTAAAGTTATTATAGAAGAACATTCCCTATTGATAGTAAAATGTGCTTATACTGTGTTTGAAAGTATACACCTATTTAGGAATTTGTATTGACTATCACTAAATTATCATCTGGGCTAGAATTAAGTTTAATATAATTACAGGCTTCTTTTAATAGTTCTAATCATGTGATTAAAATTTCATTTATGTCATAGGAATGTTTGGCATATGTTAAAACCCACAGATTAATTCATTAATTTGTTCATTTATTTAACACATATTCATTGAGGGCTGATTTTGTGCCATTAACTGTTCTTAATGCTACAGTTACATCTGTGAACAAGAAAACTCATGTTCCTATTCCACAGAACATGGATTCTAGACATGCACTGTCCAATAACGGCCGCCTCTAGCCACAGGTGGCTACTGAGTACTTGAAATGAGGTTAGTACAAATTAAGATGTGTAAAATACACACCAGATTTCACAGATTTACTATGAAAAAAGAATCTCAGCAAATGATTTCATGTTAAAATAATAACTTTTTGGATATTGGATAAAATAGAAAATATTCAAATTAATTTTACCTATTTCTTTTTACTATTTTAATATGGATACTAGAAATTTAAAATTACATATGCAACTCATTGTATTTCTATTGGACAGTGCTGTCTGAATGGATGGATAAATGATGTTAATGGTCATTCATAACTGATTGGAAGAACTTAGAGGTGGCTTCTTAAACTCTAGTAGTATGGAGACTAGTACATGTGTCACATCTCCAAAAATATATCTTAAATCTTCCTTCTGTTGCTAATGATGAATCTCTGAGCACAGAAATATTCAAAAAACTCTAGTAAAACATTTCAGTTTAAACTTTCATATTTATATATATTATCTTAAATGTTTGTGCTTTAACATCTTTTAGGTGGAAAGATTACAGGGTTCTATTCACTTTGGTCAGAGGATGACCCAGTAATAGGCTCTGTGGAATAAACCCCAAAGTTGATTTATCTAGTATTTTCCACAGTCTCAACCACCCCATACATGATGATTACATACAAATTACATTGTCGTTTCTAAACCTCACTGACACTGTCCAGGTGTTGCCTCAGCCTCTCAGCAGTTGGCCCACTATTGATCACAGCCTCTTTCTCAAAATTTTCTTGGCTCCCTTGACTTCTATACTCTCTTTATGGACTAAATAGATTTATGCTAATCTGAGTTCCAATTAATTGACCTTTAAATTCTAAACTTTATGGCAAGATTTGTTTTACTATTTTGAAGGCATGTTGCAACAAATTTCTTTATGAGTGCTCGTTTAAAATTTTTTTTAAGTATTTTCTCTTCAGTAAAATTATAGTTTTTTGCTTATTAATTCATGTTATTAGACTTTATTTTTTCTTTGCCAGTGAATTAATATTGAGAGGAATATTATTTCAAAATAGCTGTTTTACTTGTTTCTTTTTCTTCTTTATAATTTTTTTTTTTGGTTTTTATTTTGTATCTGTGACTTAAATTCTTTGACAGATCTAAGAGATGGAATTATTCAGATGTGTTTTATGCAGTGGAAAGTGGATAAGTATGCCAAGTTACTCATGGTTTCCCAGTAAATATATTCAACACCAAAATAGGGATAAAGCTTTTCACAGTATTTTCTGTTATATTCCATTATGAAATATTTTCCTCTGGATTAAAAATTATTTTGGTACCTACCTATGTTTCAATAAAAATACCAAATAATTATTTATTATTTGCTAAGCACTTTATAGATATGATTTATTCCTTTTTTAATTAAAAAAATTTTATATTGAGATACATACAATAAAATGCACAAATCTCAGTGTATAGCTTGATGTGTATATTCATGTAACCATCACCCAGATCAAGATATCATTTATTCAATTCTTATAACAGCCTATGAAGTAATAAATTTCATTGTACCCATTTTATATGTGCCAGGCAATTCTCTAAGTACTTTATATGTATTAACTTTTTAACCACTGTAACAACACTATGAGGTAGATAGTAATAATATCCTTATTTACATAGGAGAAAACTTAGGCACATAAAAGCTATTTAACTTGCCTGAGTTTGTGCCAAAAAGTAAGTGTTGGAGCCAGGCTTTCTGTTTTTAGAGCCTGAATGCTCTCTAACCTAGTTTTATTACCACATTCCTTGCTTTCTATGATATGTTTACCTACTCATCTATTGTCTTCTATTCAGCTATGCAACATATAAATCCATCTCTGCTTGGATACAGGTATCTGTGCATGTTGGATTGTGTATGTATGCAATAATACAGTTTATATAACATTACCTATTTTTCAAAGCAAACCCTATTGCATTGCTTCGGAAGCCAACTTGAGTCAAATATTGCATTCCAGAAGCCAGTCTAGAAACCTTTGGTTTTGGGTTAGGACCAGTCTGCCCCAAGGCTGCTCCCTAATAGTTCTGCAGACCTTCCCCCCAAATAGATGCAGGCCCAAAATTGAAGATTCTTGAGAGAATACTAATTTGATTCTTTAGTTCCTTGCCAGGAATTCTGGCCAACTTTCTTTCCTGCAACAGTTCTGGTTCTTAGTTCTGTTTTATTGGCACTGGCTGTTGGCAGCTAATACCAGGTGCCAACTGTGGATCTTAAGCCTTTACTACAACCATTACCTAGTTTAAAACTCAGAGTAACCGTCTGAGATAACTATTATTAGTCCCAATCTAAAGATGTTGACATTAAGACTGAGAGCATTTGAGTCATATGCCCAACATCACACAGCTAACAAATAGCAGAGCTGGCATTAAACCTTAGATTTTTCATATTTTTTTGTGATGTAGCTAATAGAGTGTCTAGCTCATGGAAGTTACTCATTATTTTCCTATATCTTTCTAAATGGACCCATTGGTTAAGTGTACAAGGAGATGACTTAAATGGAACTACTGATAAACAGGAGACATCTTTCTGAAATTTTTTAAGGAAAAATATGTGAGGTGATCTCAGAGTGTTTTTATAATTAAAGATGGATTTCAATAACATGTACTTAATATTTTTTGGAGATGAAGTACGAGAATACACAGGATTTTTTTAAGAGAACTATTTTTGCACCTATTTTTTTTTTTCTATCACAATTTCCAAGTAACTTAGAGTATTGAAGCTTGTGAAGAAAAAGGCCTTATTGAAGTCTTGGGCAAATACTGCTCTAAGTGGGAGAGGTCTTTAGAGGAATTTAAGGAATGGTGTTGGAAATATCTCTAGTATGCCAAATATAAACTCTTCAGGGAAGCTGAGATTTAAGTAGTTTTTCTACTTTACACTATTTCTAGTTAGTTTTCTGAGTCACAGAGGGAAAGGGAAAGTTTCTTGTAAAGTTGAAGTGATTGTTGTTTCCTATGGGTTAGATTTTCAATGTTAAAGAAAGGATGAAGAATTTCCCCCCTTGGGCATCAGCATGGCCCACATAAACTAATACTGCCTTTATGTTGTAACAGCACTATAGTCTGGGATTTCTGGCCACTTGTGCTTCCTATTGTGACTATGATTCCCCTGAGGTGGTCTAGTATTCTCTCATAGAAATAAGGAGTCCCTGGACAGCTTAATGCTTACTTTCATATAAACAGCTAGCACAACCCCATGATTACCCTATTTAAATTACACCTCCCCTCAGTCACTCCATTGCCTCGCTTAATACTTCATAGTGCCTAATGGAAATTATACCTATACTGACAACGAGACTTTGCATGCCAATTTAAATGTCATTTTTAGGGCCACTGACTGAGGATATTCTTTATTATAACAAAATAAATAAAAATGGCAATAGAGTCTTTCATGGGTTCTATGGGGAAAAATCATGAAGAGAGGTACTTGGTGGGGAACTCCTGTCCATGCCAGTGAGTGTGAAGGTTCTGAAGTATTCTGCTTAAAGTAACCAATCTATTAAGCAAGTTTATTTGTGTGCAATACTTGGAACAGTGAGGGTTTTTTAAAATTAAGGTACCATTGATATACAATCTTATCATGGTTTCACATGAGCAACATTGTGGTTTCAACATTCACCTGTATTATCAAGTCACCCCGCACCCCATTGCAGTCACTATGTATCAGCATAGTAAGATGCTATAGAGTCACTACTTGTGTTCTCCGTGCTATACTGCCTTTCCCGTGACCTACCTATATTGTGAGGAACACGGAGTATTAACTGTGGTGGTGTTATGATCCAAGATCAGTCACAGACTTCCTTCTGCTCACTCTGGCACCAGAGAGCTCTTTTGTAGGAGTAAATCAAAGCCCTAGGTTTAGAATTTGCTACTTCATTTTGTTATTGTTTAAGTGGTCTGTTCATAAATACTTATTTTTGCCCAAATCCTGATGTGGAGCAGCAGATTATTTCAAGTTTCTTTTCGTGACTTAGTATGGATTGGTTGTGAAATTAACCCAAGCTTTACATTATAGTTTATATGTGAAAGTGAACACTTGCATGAATATTTCCTGCATTGCTTTTTTTCTTTATATTTTGCAGTTATTTTTCAGCTTGAATGATTATAAAAACAATCACTCAAAGTACTACCTTTCCTACTACCCTTATGTTTACACTGATTTTAAAGTGTTCTAAACTTTATTGGATATATTTAATGTACATTTACATCTATGCAATGTGAAGTGCTCAGTATTTATGATCTGTAATATAGAATGTGAAAATGTAGTGATTTTCTCTTAAAGTTTATCTTTACTTTTAAATAATTTTTTGGAATTGAAAGTTTCATCCATTGATTCATTTGTTCTTCCATTCATTTATTCAACAAACATATATTGAATTTCTGTTACGTGGTATTTAATACTCCTTCCTGAAGCATTGTTACCTAAATAAATAATACAATCAAAATCTAGGGAGAGACTGCTTAGTTTATTTCCTATCCAGTGGTAGAATTCTGTTAGAATCTCCAATTCCAAATTTAGCCACTATTGGTTATACCTCTATTGCTGTATTTCTTTCTATGATGGGTTCATGAGAACATGCAACTAAAAATTGTTGCATAAGATTCCTAAACTGATAGCAATCAGATAATAAAAAGAAATGAAAGTCAAACTGTCACTGTTTGCAGATGACATGATATTGTACATAAAAAACCCTAAAGAATCCACCCCAAAACTACTAGAACTAATAACTGAATTCAGCAAAGTTGCAGGATACAAAATTAATACTCAGAAATCTGTTGCATTCCTATATACTAATTATAAACTAGCAGAAAGAGAAATCAGGAAAACAATTCCATTCACAATTGCAGCAAAAAGAATAAAACACCTAGGAATAAATCTAGCCAAGCAGGTGAAAGACCTATACCCTGAAAACTACAAGACCCTCTTGGGAGAAATTAAAGATGACACCAATAAATGGAAATCTATCACATGCTCTTGGATAGGAAGAATTAATATTGTCAAAATGGCCATCCTGCCTAAAGCAATCTACAAATTCAATGCAATCCCTATCAAAATACCAACAGCATTCTTGAACAAACTAGAACAAACAGTTCTAAAATTCATATGGAACCACAAAAGGCCCCAAATAACCAAAGCAATCCTGAGAAGGAAGAATAGAGCTGGGAGGGATTATGCTCCCCAACTTCAAGCTCTACTACAAAGCTGCAGTAATCAAGACAATTTGGTACTGGCACAACAACAGACCCATAGATCAGTGGAACTGAATAGAAAACCCAGATACAAACCCACACACATATGGCCAATTACTATATGATAAAAGAGCCATGGATATACAATGGGGAAATGACAGCCTCTCAAACAACTGGTGTTGGCAAAACTGGACAGCTACATGCAAGAGAATGAAACTGGATTATTGTCTGACTCCATCACAAAAGTAAACTTGAAATGGATCAAAGACTTGACTGTAAGCCATGTAACTCTCAGAAGAAAACATAGGCAAAAATCTCTTGAATATAAACATGAGCAACTTTTTCCTGAACACATCTCCTTGGGCAAGAGAAACAAAACCAAAAATGAACAAATGGGACTACATCAAACTAAAAAGCTTCTGTACAGCAAAGGACACCATCAGCAGAACAAAAAGGCATCCTACAGTTTGGGAGAATATATTCATAAATGACATATTCAATAAGGGATTGACATCCAAAATATAAAAAGAGCTCACACACCTCAACACCCAAAAAGCAAATAACCCAATTAAAAAATGAATGATATGAACAGACAATTCTCCAAAGAAGAAATTCATATGGCCAAAAGGCACATGAAAAGATGCCCCGTATTGCTAACTATCAGGGAAATGCAAATTAAAACCACAGTGAGATACCACCTCACACCAGTTAGTATGGCCAGCATTGAAAAGACTAAGAAAAACAAATGCTGGCAAGAATGCGGAGAAAGGGGAACCTCCTACACTGTTTATGGGCATGTAAATTAGTTCAACCATTGTGGAAAGCAATATGGAGTTTCCTCAAAAAACTAAAAATAGAAAAACCATTTGTCCCAAGAATTCCACTCCTAGGAATTTACCTGAAAAAAACAAGATCCCTGATTCAAAAAGACATATGCACCCCCATGTTTATCACAGCACTATTTACAATAGCCAAGATACAGAAGCAACCTAAGTGTCCATCAGTAGATGAATGGATAAAGAAGATGTGGTACATATACACAATGGAATATTATTCAGCCATAAGAAGAAAACAAATCCTACAATTTGCAACAGCATGGATGGAGCTAGATAGTATTATGCTCAGTGAATAAGCCAGGTGGAGAAAAACAAGTACCAAATGATTTTCCTCATTTGTGGAGTATAATAACAAAGCAAAACTGAAGGAATGAAACAGCAGCAGACTCAAAGACTCCAAGAAGGGACTAGCGATTACTAAAGGGAAGGGCTTGGGGAGGATGGGTAGGGAGGGAGGGAGAAGGGGATTAAGAGGCATTATGATTAGCATATATAATGTAGGCAGTATAGCACAAAGACAAGTAGTGACTGTATAGCATCTTACTACGCTGATGGACAGTGATTGCAATGGGGTGTGGGAGGAGACTTAATACCGATGAATGTAGTAACCACAGCGTTACTCATGTGAAACCTTCATAAGATTGTATATCAATGATACCTTAATAAAAAAAAAAGATTCCTAGGCTGAAAGAATAGCAAACGAGGGACAGAAATAAAGACAAATGATTTCTAGCTAAGAATACTGTGGTTTCATGTATTTGGGACTGATTTTCACTGTGTGTGGGGATTATAAAAGCTGTGGTTCGACAAAAAGAGCACCAGGAAATCAGAACACGAAGACTCAAAAATACCAGTTGTGTCACTCTCTGGGTGCATAAGCCTTATATCCTCACCAGCATTTGGTGGTGTTGTGTCCTGGATTTTGGCCCATAGGTATATGCCATTTTTTTTTCACTAGCAAAATTTTACAGATTAGCAACCTGTTTGTGGATTTCCTGTTTTTCCTGGCAACCTCAACAATATTAAAAATTGAGGCTAAGGCTCCACAAGTGCAAACATTCCCTTGAAAACATAATATAGTTACATTGTAGGGGTTTCAATTGTCAGCATATTGCCAATAGTGGAAGAATGTCATGTTGTCATGTGCCTGCCAGTTAGTTTTTTGGTGTAAGGAATATCTTAGACAGGAGGTACAATACTGTCCAACAGCTTCTGTGTAGTGCCAGAATCCATAACAACTCAATAAAATGCTTTTTTTTCCATTTTTGTCTTTTTAATTGAGGTGTTGATATACAGTATTATATTCATTTCAGGTATACATGATTCAACAGTTATATACATTATGAAATGTTTACCATGATAAGTATAGTTACCAGCTGTCACCATATACAGATATTATAGTATTATTGGCTATCTTCTCTATGCCATAATTTTCATCCCTGTGACTGATTTATTTTGTAATCAGAAGTCTAAAACTCTACGCCTTCACCTATTCTGTTCCCATCCCACCCCACTCACCTATGGCAACTACCAGACTGTTCTCTGTGTTCATAACTCTATTTTTCTTTTGTTTCATCACTTGTATTTTTTTTAGATTCCACACTATAATTGAAATGATGTGGAATTTTTCTTTCTCTGTCTCACTTATTTCACTTAGCATAATACCCTGTAGGTCCATCCACATTGTTGCAATTGGCAATGTTTCCCTTTTTAATGGCTTAGTAATATTCCATTGCATATATGTACCACATCTTCATTATCCATACATATACTGATGGACACAGGTTGCTTCCATATCTTGGCTATTATAAGTAATGCTACCATAAACATAAGGTTGCACATATCTTTTTGAATTAGTGTTTTCTTCATGAAAATTCCCACAAGTGGAATTACTAGATCATGTGGTATTTCTATTTCTAATTGAGGAAATTTCATTACTGTTTTCCATAGTTTCTGTGCCAAATCACAGTTATACCAATAGTTAATGAGGGTTCCCTTTTCTCACTAATACTCATCAACTCTTATCTTTTTGATACTAGTCATTCTGACTTGTGATATCTCATTTATATTTCATTTTTTGTATTAAAGTATTGTTGATATACAATCTTTTGTCACAGTGGTTCAGCAGTTACCCATATTATTAGCTCCTTATCGCCTCTGTTGCCATCACTGTCTATCAATGTGGTAAGACGTTACAGAACCATTAACTGTACTCTGTGCTGTATTACTGTCCCCATGACCAGCCTATATTGTGATTGTGAATACTCAATAAATGCTTTAGACAACAACACTTGCTTATTAAATGTTTGAAATATTTTCACAAAAATTAAAGGTGATATTAGGTTCAGAGAATGCACTTGATTACATATCCAAATATTGAAAATTTCTTCCTGCAATAAATTGCCTTTAAAGAAATGCTTCTGTGTGGATAGGCAGTTATATTGCCATATATGGTGACAATGGAATGTTTTACAGTTTTGTTATCCAATGGAAATATGTTACACAAATGTAATTTTAAATTTTCTAATAAACATGTTAATAAAATGAAAAAGAAACAGGTGAAATTAATTTTAGTATATTTTATTTAATGCAGCTTATCCAAAATATCATTTCCATGTGAGTCATTATTTAAAAAGTACCGATATTTACACTTTTTGTCCTAGACTTTCAAACAATGTATGTACAAATGAATGGAGTGTGTATTTTACACTTATACCACATCTCAATTCACATTTCAAGTGCTTTTGGACAGCACAGTTCTATTATTTCCCTCAGTCATTTTCTGAACCATTTGGAGGCAAGAAAACCAGTGTGTCTTTAAAATAATGTACAGATGGCATGAGCCAGTACACACCATATGTCATTACTATCATCTTTCCAGGAGTCAACCCATTAAAGGTAATAGTCATACCTGAACAGTAGCCTTCTACTACTTGCTGAGGGTTATTAGACATTGTCTCTTGAGCAAGATATGCAACCGGGTTTGTATTAAATACATCTCTTCCTTGAGAATCATCTGCATTTCTGCATAATAACTCCTGCATATTTCAGGCCTGCTGCCAGCTGCATATCTAGGTAACTTCCAAATCACACTTTGATCTGCACACTTTTCAGGCTCTATACATAAGGGAATTCCTCTTTCCAGATCATGTGGCACATATTCAAGGTCACCAGATGATAGTGTGGCCTAGATAAAAGGGTTTTGATGGAGTTACTAAATCAAACAGAAGACACTTCAGTAATTTTCAAACAGAAAATGTAGTGGGACATACAAGAAAGAACCAGTTGTAGTTGTACTTTTCAGAGACCTAGTTAAGTTTACTTCATCTGTATCCATGAACTATTCTTTTTAGTACTGTGGGGCTCTGCTTTGTCACAGGGTTTGGTCCAAGCCTCTTCCGGTACAGCCCACTAAGGCTCATGGTTGGATTCTCCGAGGATGCAGTAAATATGGATACTTTTATTAAGATTCAAATTTTGCACTTCTGAAATGTTTAAGAAATATTTTGTTAGGTGGGCGTAGGTGATGGTGCTCATGGTCTTGAGTCTCACTCGTGTCGAATGTTAATTTGCCTAAACATAGTTACCAAAGCATGGTAGATGCTTCTGAACTGCGTACCCTTAAAAATTGACTCTCATGGTGGAAACAATCACTCGGGCGTTGAGAACAGTGCGCGCGGGTCAAAAGTAGCCTCCAGATGGGTCACGGTCCCCAGCACGCACCCTCCCCGATTGACCCCCGGGTGGGGCCGGGCCCGGCGTGTGGTCCGTGGGGGTGGAGCCCGGGGTGCTGTGAGGTCTGCAGAACACTGACCTTCTGGACTTCCGGAATAGCAGCCAACCATAAAATGGAAAATAGCACAGACTGAGCTCTGGACTCTAGTGAGTCTAGCCAGCTCCACATAGATGGCGCTAGTGTTGACCATACATCCGCACTCCGGGAAAAAAGAATCTGAAGTTGAATTTTACTTTATGATGTTTTTTCCTTTCAAAAGAGAAACATGAATTTTTACATTTTCTCTGTTTTTTTCTCACTTTGCAGATGCAACAGCTTGAGAGCCAGGTTATTGATGCTGAACGTCAAGCAGAAAAAGCTTTTCAACAGGTAGGGTATAATTTTAGTTAAAAATTTTTTTCTGCCTTAACCAGTATAAACATTCTTTTGCCCAAATGATCCTCAAAATAGTCTTCTGCGGCCCTCTACGTCTTAATCATTTTGACTGTTCATGAGCAGGAGCCATAGACAAGATGGAGAATCTATCTTTATTTTGCTTCTTAAATTTTTAAAGGATAAAAATGCTTCCATTAGGAACTTTATTTTCTGAGAAAATTAAGTATAACTCTTATGTTAATCCTAACCATAATGAGTTTTTATACATAAATATATTCATAGCAGATTTATTTATAGTAATAAAGAGTTGGAAATGCTATCAATGCCATATTATAGGAAATGTGTAAGTGAACTATGTCCACTCCATGAAATGTTGAACAACTATTAACAATAACTATTTTAAAGGATATATCCTAATGTGGAATTAGGAAAAATATATTTATATATTTATATATAGGAAATATATGCATGTATCAGTAAAAACATATACAAAATCTTATACTTCATATGTTAATAGATACAGGGGAGAAAAGTCAAACTTTTGATAAATCATTGATCCCTTCCCAGGCCTTTCAGCAGTGAAATGAGTGGTTTGGATCATCCCACCAGATTTAAAGTTTGTCTAATGATCCTAAATCCATACCCTCACATTTTATGAAAAGATCTCTGTCACAATAGCCAAGAAATGGAAGCAACCTAAATGTCCATCAGTAGATGAATGAATAAAGAAGATGTGGTACATATACACAATGGAATTTTATTCAGCCATAAGAAGAAAACAAATCCTACCATTTGCAACAACATGGATGGAGCTAGAGAGTATTATGCTCAGTGAAAGAAGCCAGGCAGAGAAAGACAGGTACCAAATGATTTCACTCATATGTGGAGTATAAGAGCAAAGAAAAACTGAAGGAACAAAACAGGAGCAGAATCACAGAACCCACAAATGGACTAACAGTTACCAAAGGGAAAGGGACTGTGGAGGATGGGTGGGAAGGGAGGGTAAGGGCGGGAAAAAGAAAGGGGACATTACAATTAGCATGTATGATGTGGGTGGGGCGGTACGGGGCAGGCTCTACAACACAAAGAAGACAAGTAGTGATTTTACAGCATCTTACTACGCTGATGAACAGTGACTGTGAAGGGGGGAGCCTAGTAAACATAATGTTCTTCATGGAATTGTAGATTAATGACACCAAAATAAAAATAAAATAAAATAAAAATTCAAAGTATTTTTTAAAATAGATTCTAGAAATGCTAAACCAGAGGCACTGAACATTTTCTAAGTGTTAAACTAATTTATGCTCCTACCAACAACAAATGTTAAGTGCAAATAGTACCAATTGTGGACAGGGAACTGTTTTGTGGACCTAGCAGACTATGAACATTTTCATTGTGAAAGTGAAGAGTGAATGAGTATGAACAAAAAGAATCATTTCATGGATTTCTCTAATATAAGGCTGATTATTTACCATACAAAAGATTTAGAATAGAGTAGATTGAGATAGATTGAATTTTACTGTGTAGTATTACAGAAACAGTAATGCAGTAAGCAAAACACTCTTCAGGACAGAAAGCAGTTTGGCTGTTATCTTACATACTTAACTTTGAATGCTAGATCAGCTTAGTAAGTTAATTTTTATAAATGCATTAACTAAGCTTCAGCTTCTCAAAATACACATATTTGAAAAAGCCCAGCCATCAACTAAGGAAAACAAAGATGAGTGTGTTATCCTAAGAGTAAGATTATTCACTCGGAATGTGGTCTATCAATTTTGAGATTATGGTTAATATAAATTACACCAGCATGCTATATGTGAGACTATAATTTAGGCTACCTATTGTCTTTAACCTACAAAAATAAAAATTTCAGCCACAAAAAAAAAAAGATGTCTGTCAGATTCAGTCAGGAATTTCAAAATTATTATCTCTTCTAAGAAATGTATATTAAAGCCCTTAAACTTGCTCCAAGTCCATCTTGTTTCCTTCAGTTTGAGTACTACCAAATCTTGTTTTCACCTAAAAGATTTAATTATACACAGTAGATTGTTTTAGTGGTCTAACAAATTTCTAAATAAACCCAATCTAACCTAATGCCTTATTTTCTTAAATTAATAATATGTGAGAATATTTTTTAAAACATTATTATGCCAAATTTCAACCACTGCAAGGGTAGAGAAATTAGTGCAGTGGGCCCCCATCACTAGCTTCAACAATTAGTCAACTCATGGATAGTCTACATCTCCATCCACTTTTTCCCATCCCACCTCCACGGGGGGTTATTTTGAAACAAACCCCATATCATATAATGTTTTCACCCATGACTATTTAAGGAACTAATCCAAAAACAAAGACTTAGAAGTCATAAGTATAGTAACATCACCATACCAAAAACAAATCATTGATAATTGTTTAAATCTTCAAATTTAGGTATAGGTACAAGTTTTCGTAACAATGGTAAAGATCTATGCTGTTTTTGGTTTTTTGTATTTGTTAGCTGATAGGACCAAATAGTATTATCTTCCTTGTATCTATAAAAAAGCCAATAGGTAATAGTAAAGGCATAAAAGATCACTTTATTCTATGAAAGACTTATATTTATGTCACTCTTTGTCATTCTATTCCAACATCTTTGTTATTTTTTCTGTTGTGGGCCCTATGTTAATGCCCCTTCTTAGCCCCACACCTTGCAGCACACATTGGTCAGTTTCCCTGCCTCTGACTTTCCTGCCTCCCTCGGAGTCTTTCCCTTTCTGACTTTGGCCATTCCTGGGGGCATCTTTCTTTACCTCTATACCCAGGGCTTTCTCTGTATGTATCTCTGCCCATTCTTCGTAATCTTTCCCTTCCCTTTCTTTCTCTGTTTTAATTGTTCATACTATAGGAACAAAAGAAAAAATTTGAGGATGGTTTTGTTTTGCCTTTTCTTAAATTAAAATTCTTAATTCATGTAAGTGACAAATTTTTTCAGCTCTGAAAATTAAACTAAATTAAGGATTTTGATTTTCATATTCAGGGTTTTTTTCCTCTGCTTCACTGGATATTAATGGAACAACAACAAAAAAAATCTTCATTCCCAATTCAGGGGAAGCGAATCATGGCAGTTTGTAGCTACTGGGGTCCAACTGCTGATCTTGATAAATTAACAAGAACAATTCCTTATTTGAACTTGTCCTTTGAGGATATCAGGTGTACAGTTACTTAATTCTGTGTGCTACATTTTAAAGTAAAATGGTACCATGATTACTTATTTTGGACATAGTGCCTTAAATCAAGCCCTGCCTCCCCTGAAAAGAGTGAGAATGGCCAACCTTCCAAAGTTTCCACATAACTTAGCAAAATTGGTAGCTATTTCTTTTTGTCACAACACTTCACATTAACTTAGTGCCTATTTTGTCAGGTTCAGAAGGAATTTTTTTCTTTACATACTTCATAATAAATCTAAAAGTTAACAGGAAATATAAAACAGCAGATGAATTCTCATACTCTGATTTTATCACCTTTTTTTGGCCTTCACAAGACTAAGTAAATGTTACTAACTTAGAATAACTGAATCCTTTGCTATCTTTAACAGTTTCCATGGGACTGTAGACTATCTGCTGTTTATGTTGCTTAAATTCAGCTTGTCCTTTGTCACTGAGCCATATCCTAAGACTTAAACTGTGTTTATATTAACCAAAAAGGAATGTTTCACCACTAAAAGCTTCAGTCAGCTGAAACCAGCTCCACTCTATAGTTTGGTTTTGTATGTTTTTCTCCTTGTTTTAATGAATGGTGTCACTCATTATTAAGTAATTTGGCTATGGAAAAGAAATCACACGTTTTTCTAGAGAAATCTTGACAATCTTTATATGCATGTGTAGTACATTTTTTTATTGTTGTTATTCACAAGTTTTGAAAGCAGTGTGTGCAATTAAGCCCAGACTACTTATGAGTATTCTCGTGAAATGGAAAACAGCAAATAGCACATTTGGGAGATACTGATACACAGGGTTCCTTCTCCATCTGATCAGGTGCATACTCCCATCTGTTACACAATTTATGCTAACCAAAGAGGAGTAAGTAATTTCCTCTGTAGAAGTTTGTGTTTTCATTCTCTCCTTCTGGGTTCAGTCCCTTGCCTATGTTTAATTCAGACTTGGTAGAAGCTGGACTTGAAGCTCCCTTTAATATGGAGGGTAATCTGCCTTTCTGTAAAGTTGGTTTTTAGTATCCAAGTCATTTTTGATACTTCAGTGATTAACAGTCAGTCATCCTAATGTCCATGACCTTGTAATGATTTACTTCATTACAGGGAAAACTATTCAGGGCTGTTCCTTTTCACCTTTAGTGAGACTGGTTCTGGCTTCACTGCATAAATTAGGGAGCACTATGCCAAAATAACTGTGTTTAAGATATGTCTAGAATGATTAATTAATTTGCAATAAATTTAAATATCTGAAAGATGGTCTGGGATTTAAAATACTCTTATAGTTCCTTTCTTCATTCTATTTTGGCATGACCGGGTATCTTTGTGCCATTACAATGTATGTATAGAAATAGAAACTTTCAACCCCCCTCAAAAGTACAGTCACATCTTAATAATTATAGTAGGGGAACGAGGGATGATGTTAGAAATGGGAGGAAGGAAACATCAGGATAGGTGATTACAGTGGGGGACAGTATTTGCAGCCTCTTCTTTCTTCAGTAGGGGCAAGAAAATTGAAACTAGCATTGCAAGTTGTCAGGGTCCCGGAGACTACCCTTAGGTTTGATGACTCACCAGAAGGACCCCCAGAACCCAGAAAAGCTGTTGTACTCATTCTTATGGTTTATTACAGTGAAAGGATACATATTAAAATCAGCAAAGGGAAAATGTACATAGGGCAGAGTCCAGGAGAAGCAAGGTAAGAGCTTCCAGTTGTCCTCTTGGAGTGGAGTTACACAGGGATGTGCTCAATTCTCTCACAAATGATGTGTGACTCTATGTACAAAGTGTTGCCAACCAGGGAAGTTCATCCAAGCCTTGGTGGCCAGAGCTTTTATTGGGAGAAGGGACATCAGTCTTGCAGGCATGGAATGCACATGTCGCTGACCTTAGCCACTCAGTCTCCAACCCCCGCAGAAGTCAGACTCATACAGCATGGCCCAGGACCCCAGGTGAATGAACAAGAAAGGCATTTACCATAAATTGCTTTGTTAGCATTAGCTATCTGGTATAGCCCATTATCTCAGGTATATCAAGACAGCCTTCCCAGGCAGTGCATTCCTAGGGCTTTTCCAGGAGCCAGTCAAGGGCCAGTCCTTTCTTTGGAATGTCTTTTGAGCACCCCAAGTCTGCTGTGGAAACTGCACAATAGCTTAGGAACCTCAGAATCAACAAGGCTTTAGGGAAATGGCTGAGGAGTGTGCTGAGGTAGGTGGGTGCAACCAGACGCTTTCCTGGAAGTTAAGGGGAAAGGTAGCCTAGAAGTGCAAAGCATTCCTCACTGGAGAACAAAGGTACTTGCAAGAGTTCCTTTAACAACCAATCTGGATTCAAAGACATTTGTTATTGGGACAATCTCTGAGTAAAGTTCTTATGTGGTTCAGACTAAATGAATGGAAAAAGAAATAGGCTATTTTCCACGTATTTGTGGTAAGACATTTTAAAAGATTTCTTGGTTTTTCTGTAGACCTCTTCTTCATTCTGATTACCAAGGAAGGCTGGTGAGTCCTGTGGAATCTGGTCCTGAACGGACCAATTGGCAAATAGGTTCTCTGTATTTTGTGATCTCTCTTCCCAAGACATGTTGCCATTTTTGCCAATATTTTTCTTCCTACGAAAGTTGTTTATCTAAAAGTAATTGTCAAATTAAACAGTTGCACAGGGCACAAATGCATCTAAGGAGCTCTGACTGTAGAACTCATTCATAAAACTGAACATGTTTTTCAGGGAAGAAGAGTACTCCCAGATCACAGTTTTTCCTGGACTGTACACCTTTCCTAAGCAATAATAGGACAGTTTTCTGTGGCAGTCCAGTATCTCTTGGGCAGCTTGCTCCAACTTGATCAAAGGGGCCTTCCTGTAGGTGTAGGTCTGGTAATGTTTACTTATATTCTTTTTCATTTACTTTTGTTTTTCTTGAGGTTTATAGAAGCAGGAAATTGTCTTCCCTTCTGAGTTCTTTGGCTGGCCTAATTAAATTGACATATGACAGATTAACAGGAGAAAAACAAGTTTAATTTCGTACATACAGAAGCCCCATAAAAATATGAGCGTCAACAGAAGTGACTAAAGCAACCAGCTTTTATACCTTTTCGACAAGGAAACAATAAATTTGTAAAGAATTGACAAGACAAAAGGATTTGGGTTTGGGGTAGTACATTAGTGAAATTGCAGGGTTTGCTTATACAGCTTTCTCAGCCCTAAATTCCCTATCTGTGGTGATAAGGATGCCTTCTGCCCTCCTGGAACAAAAAGGTACTTTCACGGGATTTATTTCCTGCTTTCGGGGGGTCAGAGGAGTGTCAGAGTGTCCTTGCAAGTGCTGTTTCTCCAGTAATTTTATTTGAAAATAATCAACATGTCAAAGTGGCATATTTTGGGGTAGTCTATTCAGCTCACTTCCAGGTTTACCATCTGCTATTCTATCCCCAGAGAACAACCATTTTGAACTTGGCCTCCTGCTCTTCTTTCTCGGCTTCCACAGCTATAGAATGCCTCTGAAGAACTGGTCATACCATTTTAAGACTGACCCTTGCTATTTACCATCCAGATCTCTGTCCTGCTCTGGCTGTTCTTCATGACATCATCTCTGATACAGACCTTTGTCCCTGGTCTCTTGGTCTGCAGTTCCTGCAGAAAGCCTGCTACATCACGTTAAAAAAAAACTAAATCTTAAGATAACTTGAAACTATCATTTGGGTGGTGAAGTACATTTTTTTCTCCTAATTTTAAAAATCTACTATTTTTGTTTCCAAGTTTCCAAGTATCTTGGTGGTACTTAAATAGGACACTTTTGGCTTCTGAGTTGAATTTACATTTTTACAGTGAGTCCACAGATGAAACCTTGTTTTCGTGGAAAGAGCAAAACTAAACACAACTAACCATAGTTAGTTCTTATATTAGTTAGAACCATAGTACTCTCTTTTGAGAAGTCTTCATTAATCAAGTATGTTTGACCTTTAAGTAAAGTTTCATTGCAATTTTTTAAAGAGGTGTTTTTAACAGTTTAAGAGTTTTCATCTTAACTATCTTTAATTCCTCAAATGCTTTTACATATTTTTCTTCTTTGCCCCCTATAGTCTAAAGCATTGGTAAAACTACACTCTTAACTACTTGGAGTATATAGAATAAAACCACTTTTTTTCTTTACTATCACTAACATCTTATGCATCCCTTCTAAGATTTTATATGCCCAAATATATTTTGCAGAAAATCTAAACAGAACCAATACATCTTAGTTATTTAAAATTAAGCACCACTCAACCCCCAGTCACACTCTTTTATCCTGCCCTATTTTTTCCCATTACCCTTATCCCCTTGTGTAAAGTACTGTATGATCTTTAGACCTTTATTATGTTTGTGATCTCTCTTACTCACAAGTATGTAATTTCTATGCAGGCAGAGATATGGGGTCTGTTTTATTCACTGATGTCTTTCCAGGCCCTGGCACTTGGCAGATATTCACTGAATATTTGTTGAATTAATGAGTCAATAAACCCTCACTTAACAATACTCTCCTACCTATATCTTGATTCTTATACTTTTTTTTAATAATTCCATCATTTGAGGCTTTATGGTTCTTTTTTTTTTTCCTTTTCCTTTCCATTGTGTATGTGTTTCTGTTTCATCTAAGTTTGATTTTTTTTCCCAAAGTGTATTATTATGTCAAGTCAGCTAATCTATTTCTTATCTCACCATTCATTTCTTTATTTTGTGTTCCTGCTTTGTTTAAAATATGAAAAAATGAGGACTGGAAACTTTCTGATGTATGCTTATATGAAATTACATATTCTCATTGCTCTAGTAAACATGTACATCACTTTATTTGAAAGCAATATTCTGAGAATCTTTTATGTACCCATATGAACCTCAAAGGTAACACCAAAAATTGTCTTCAGACTTTATAATACATTAAAACATGCTATTCAATATTTCCTTTAAGAATCTAGTGTTAAAGTAAAAATTTTAATTTATTACTATGATAAATTAAGTACATGTGTAATTTTAGTATTTTTATCCTTTGAATTAGGTACAAGTTATGGAAGAGAAATTAAAAGCAGCTAATATTCAAACCAGTGAATCAGAGACAAGGTTGTATAAAAAGTGTCAAGATCTGGAGACCTTCATACAGGAAAAAGATGACATCATTCAAAACTTGGAACTGCAACTTGAAGAGCAGGTTAGGAAGAATTTGATCATCAAAGAGTTCTAAATATGTGTGTTCATTTAGGCATAATCACAGAGGTTAAAGAGAAACAGCCTATACTCCTGAATTTTTATTAGAAATCTTACTTATTTGGTCAACTCATAGGATTGCATCTCATTTATTGGTGAAAGCTGCAAGTAAAATGGCGTTCACTTTAAGTCTGGGGTGATTCCAAGACAGTAGCTAAGACTAACATTGTGGGGTGTGACAATGCTTTTGGATGTGACAATGTAGTGTTTATGCTGAAAACATCTGGTTTTCAGGAGGCATTTCTGTCTGTAAAATATTTGAAGTAAATCTTTGCTTTAGATTTTTAGTGTGTTGAAAATGTTCATGGAACACTATATTTTAAATATGTTTGATGCTAATCCTTCTGCTTAGAAGTGTGTACACTATTTTTAAACCACTTTATTGAGATCAAGTATAATATTCAGTTCATTTAAAAATTTTATTAGGAATGAAATTACATTAGGGCTATTACTTAAGTCATCATTTAATTTAGCATCATTTAAATATGACCACTATGAAATTGTCAAATATGTTAAATTGTTGTTTATATTCAGCATTTAAAACAAATTTCTCTGAGGATCAGTGTTTTCTTAGGTCAGTAGTTTTCAGCTTTACTCCACTCCCAGCCCCCACCCACTGTGATTGATATGATAGTCACATTCTCAGTAGTTTTGTGACCATAACCAGATTTTAATGTTAAATTTGAGCTGGAGTTGTTCAATCTTTAGTTTTTTCTGGATCTTTAAAGTCTAGTGTTTGAGGGGAAAACAAGCCGTGCTCTGGAGGAGATTCTAATTCTCCTCTGCCTAATCTGATGGACCACTATCCTACTATTATAAACTATTTTAAACTATTATATCCAGAAATGGTTTCCTTTGTTGATAAATTCAGTGGATGGATTTCAGCATATGGTCTTCCAGAGAAAGAGAACAACAGTTGTTAAACATAGTAATATTTGCCTATGCCTTTATTGTTTATTACTGTATCTGCTGGACAATTATTCTTATTTTTTACTCTGGTAATTTGAAGGTAGTGGTTTTAACTTGGAAATGGATTTAAAGTAGATTTGCTTTTTATATTTATGACATAACATTTCCAGGCCAGTGAGCTTATTTTGGAACTGAACAAATTGCTCATGTTATTTCAGAAACAAATAAGAATACAAGAAGCTAAAATAATAGAAGAAAAAGCAGCTAAGATCAAAGAATGGGTAACACTTAAGTTAAATGAGGTATTTATTGCTATATTTTGCCTTTTCTTTACCTTTTTCTTCCTTTGAATAGATAAGTCATCAGAATCCGTGGTCATTATGAGTGAAGCAAAATTCTGATCAGTTGATGATACTACTGACTTTCAGTAAATGTGAGATAGGTAGTGTTCCTTTCAATGTCCAGTGTATTCCTATAATTTAAAATATTGATAGGCTCATGGTAACCAGTGTAAGTACCCTCATTCTAATTACTTGGTTTTTAGTTCTAATTAGTTCATTTAAAATAATTATAGAACATATGTACATATCATAAAATGAATGTGTTTAGTATCTGAGAAGTAGTTTATATGGCAAGTTAAATGCTGAAATAATTTGGCTTAAAATAATATTGCAGTAGAAAAGGCACAGGGTAAAACATTTAAAACTCATAGTTTTGGGAAAAATAAATATTAAACTCATCATTCTTTGTGTTAATAAATTCATCTGATACTTGCTTATCATTGCTTTTGTTTTTTGCTTTCTTGTAATTAGATGTTGCCATTTACTAAATATTACAATTTATTAGTACATTTTAGAAATGTTATTCCTCTGTAAAAGAATATCATTGTGTTCTTTTAGCTGGAATTGGAGAATCAGAATCTTCGTTTAATCAACCAAAACCAAACTGAAGAGTTAAGAACAGTACAGTCAAAACTACAAGGTATGATGAGTACTTTGGCTAAGATAGCTTACTTAATTGGATTTATTTGACTATGTAGAATTTTACTGTTGAGCATTTGAAATATTATTAGCACAACTGAGAAACTGAATTTTACATTTTGTTTCCTTTGAGTTGATTCAAATTTAAACAGCCACATGTCCATAGTAAACAGCACAGCTAGACAGGAACAAATAACCCAAAAGGGGTAATACTAATTTGAGTGTTTAATTTCAGGTATGTTTGCTTAAAAAAAAAACAGTTGTGTTATTTTCTATTTTCATTTTGTATTATGGTAATAAGCAGTGACTGAAATTTTTACAGCCTGAATATTTTGAGCAAAATTTTATAATATGAATAAACTGCTTGCATTTTCCAATGCTTAGGGTTACTTTCTTTCGTTTCAATTTCAAAGCCTAAGGATGGGCAACAGAGTTAAGATTTACTTAATATGCTGTTCTGGTGATGGCTACTCAAGTGCACATTAAGCTGAAACAAGGAGGTGAATCATCAGGGTTAGTAGACCCATGACCTAAGGTAGTGGTTTTCCAATCTATTTAGCAACAGAACCCTTTTTTAAAGCAATATGTTTTCCTGTAGAATCTCAAGAGCTAACACAGGTAAAAGCAGTGTTCGGCTATGGGTCCACAGTTTTGCAGGCTTGGCCTCATCCATGCCACTTCTTATACCTTCTGTGACATTTCTACAAAGTGCTGGGGTTTCACAATATGCATTGGAAAAATATTGGCATGGTAGAAAGAACATGGGCTTTAAAGTCAACTGAAATGCCTACAAGTTAATAACTGTTACATTTCTGGATTTTTTTTGTATTAGTAAAATAATAATTGTAATAGTGCTTTACTGGTTTCATGGGGGTTGTTGCTTACAAGACTTATGAAAACATTTCTGCCTGTTAACAGTTCCTGCAATCATTTTGTAAAGGGAAAAACTCTTCTGCTCTCTTTTTCTCAGTACCTCTGACACCAAATGTCAGGGTTGGGGGTTGGGGGGTGTTTCCCACACCAAGCAGTTAGCCAGTTCTCAGCACACACCAACTGGGTGTCCTACAAATTTAACTCAATTCTGACATTATCTACGTGGAGTTAGCATCAGATTGTACAGGTTTAGGGCTCAGTCCCACAAAACTAACCCCTCACCACTCAGACACAATCACAAGAATGGGTCATCACCCTGCTTCTGCCCAACTGGCTATAAATCAGAGGTTCCCATGACCCTCCTCAGATTTGGTTATTTGCTGGAGAGTAGAGAGGCTCACAGAACTCAGGCAGTTTACTTCCTAGCTATCGGGTTTATTACAAAAGATCTAACTCAGAACAGCCAGATGGAAGAGATCTACAGGACAAGGTATGGGAGAATGGGCAGAGGGTCCACGCTCTCTCTGAGGGTGCTACCCTCCCAGCACCTCCACAGGTTTACCAACCTGAAAGTTCTCTGAACCCCATCCTTTTGGATTTTTTTAATGGATGCTTCACTATATAGACATGATTGACTGATTAAGTCATTGGCCACTGATGATTAATTCACCTACAGCCCTCTGCCTTCCTCTGAGGTCAGAGGTAGTGACATGGAGGATGATGCTGAAAGTTCCAGCCCTCTAATCACATGGTTGGTTCCCCTGGCAACCTGCCTCCATCCTGAGGCTATCTAGAGGCTTTCCAAAAATCACCTTATTAACATCAACTCAGATAGGGTTGAAATGGCTTGTTACAAAAACAAAAGATACTTTTATTGCTGTTATCACTTAGGAAATTCCCAAGGTTACAGGAACAGTGTGCCAGGAACCATGGAAAAAAACAAAAATATGTATTTCTTATTTACACATTTCTTCCACCTATATGATGAAAAATAGGTGTTCCCATAGTTGATCCAGAATTCCATATTTAGGATTAAAGTTTCAATGCTGTGACATTCAGCCTCATTGAAATAGATTGGTGCACCAAACCCTTTCTCAAAGGCTGTTATTTTCCCTGGTATTCTTAGCTTGCAATTTGATCTTCACTGGCAATCTCCTAGGTCTTATAGGTTAAGGGGTATTAATCCTTGGACTGGAGAAGAATAGATATGATGTATGTAGATATAATACTTCAAAAATTAATATGTATGTATATATGATTATTAAAATATCATGAATTAATTCTGTGAAAGATAATGTGAAAATATTGAAAGATAGGTCTAAAGGAATGCACAATATAAAGATATTTTTCTTAGACTCCAGTCATTTATCAGTTGCTATTTAATTTAACCTTTTGGTGCTCTCTCAGAGTTAAGAATCTAATTTCCTTGGCAACTTATCTTACTAAAAGTGTTATCTCCCTGCTTTTGATCTTGCAAGCTGCAATGTTACAAGTTTTAGAAGATGAATTAAACTCAGAAGTAGGTGCTTTTGTTATCACTCCCCTAGCTATCTAAATTCTCTGTCTAGAAACTGCCACCTCCCCCTTTTTTTTCTCTAAAGTGGCTAAGGCTCCCCATATTGTGGTCACCATAGACCAAACCATTCTGTCTGCTTTCTTATGAGAAGCATACTGAAAACTAAGATAAGGAAAAGTTTTTACAGTAACCATATGGTATTTTCCCCAATGATGATCCAAATTTCCTCTGGTTGTCTTGGTAACCAGGACCTCAGTCCCTTTTTCCTCACCATTAGTAACATTTTCACACAGTTAAATTTTATCAGTACTTGACTGGTATTTACCAATACATGACTTTGCAAGAAGCTATAATACTCTACTTGTTTATAATCTGGTTTTTTGGTTTATTTATTTGTGTATTTGGTTTTGTTTGAGAACTAAACCAAGGTATTATTTTCCTCTCTGTAGTTAAAAATACATTGAACATTCTGAATATATAAACAGATTTTAAACATTGGCATGTGATGTTAGACATTGAGGATTCCATTTTACTATACATAAGTAAAGAGGAACTTCAGGCTCTTTTCTGGTATAAGGAGTAATTTGTCCAAGTTTTTAATATGCTTTGGCTCTTTGTCTAACAAACTGTTATAAAGAATTCAAATCTTTTAATTTTGATTAATGATCTTGCAGAAGTTCAAGGGAAGAAGTCATCCACCATCTCCCCTTCAAAGCTTTTGGAAGGTCAGCGCCTAAGTAGCTTGACCTTTGGGTGCTTTCTGTCCCGAGCAAGGAGTCCTCCTCAAGTGGTTAAATCTGAGGAAGTGAGCAAGATATCATTTAAAGAACCTGAGTTCACTGAAGAAAAAGACATAGAAGGTATTTATGAACTAAAGGAATTTGACTTTTTTTTTTTAAGGGGAAATCATTTGCTAAGATTAACCCAAATACTTAATTTCCTTTATTTTTTTCCTCACCCCGATGTTTTATGCAATATTATTCAAGAGCAATCCAGCATTTAACTTGTGCATCTAGTTCTCTTGTATGTTTCTGGGGAGTCTAAGCCAGTGATGCATAGGAGAAACTGATTTTCCCCTCTGAATACTTCTTTCTTCAGTAGGCAGCAATGGTGTTTAAAATTAATTAAGTTCACAGTTGTACCTACAAGGTACTTGTTTTAGCGGAGTTTCAAATTAGAACTATGAACTTTCTATCATTATTTATTCAAAACTAGTATTAAAGATGAAATAAATATAACATAGCAAATGTATGAACAGAAAGAACACCAGAGGATAAGTTAACTGCTTTGATTTTTCCCTTTGTTGCTCCAAAGAGGAAAATATGTGCCTGAGTATTTAAACCCTGGACCTGTATGCAGATGTCTACCCTTCCTTTAGTCTTAAAGCCCCTCTAAATTGTGTTTTGTTGTGCAGCTGCTGGATTTGCCACCCCTAGCATGACTTCTCCACATATTTTAGAGAGGCTTGACTTTGCATTTTCTCTGTTTTCAGTTGCCACTTTTTACCTCCAGTGGAGAAAAATATTAGCTCTAAAAGTCTGTCTCTGTGTTTGGTTATGAAATTCTGAAAACTACATAATGCTTTTCCAGTCAGAAGGCTCCTTTGCTACTTACTTTTATGCCCTTATTTGCATTTTTTTTTCTGTTTTGAGGAGTCATTTTAATTTCCTTTAACCATCAGTTAGAGTATAGCTCAGTATAGGTGAGGTTGCCTGTACTGAAGCTCTTGCTCATTTACAAATTTAACTAACTGCCTGATACTAAATAGTAGACTTTATTTATTCAGCCTGTTTCCTTACTTATGAAGGTCATATCCGTGCTTTGATATTTCCAAAGTTTCTTTTGTACTCTTCAATCTAAAATTTCTAGTTTACTGTTTATGAAGCCAATGGTTCATTCTATTCTATTATTAAATATTATAATATTCATTATTCTATTAATAGTTATTAATAATTATAATTATTCTATCAATTATTCTATTAATTGTGTTATACACAAAAATAAGCCATATCTGAAGACATTGTTAAAGAGTTATTCTTTTTATAAAAGCACATTTGCAGTTACGATTAAACCAGAAAGAGAACGAGGAAAGCTTTTCTCTATGTGTTCTTCATGGTTTGGCATATTTCATGTATTGAAGCTTGGGAACAAAGTTTGTTTTTTAAACTATAGCTTTATTGTGTTTAAATTTACTTACGATGATTTTGAAATTTAGAGGAGGAAGGTCACCATTTTCTTTGCCTCTAAAATAGTGAGCAGTAGTGTTCTTCCTATGATAGAGTTGCCCTATTTCACATCTTGCTTCTTTTATTCTCTATCCTTAGACAACTGCCAGGTTTTTTTTCCTCGACATATTTCTTTGTAAAAAGCAATTTAATTTTGATATTATTCTTTTGAAGTGTTATGGCTCCATGTTTTATAAAAAATTTATAGTTTTCAAACTTAGGTTTAAAAAAGACATACAACTAAAAACAGATAATGTGAATTAACTTCATTCAGATGAAAATTACCATTTTTACTTTGTGGTTACATAGAGCTCCATGTACAGAAAGTTTATATTGTTAGAGACAACATACCAATAAGATGTATGCTTTTCTAGAAATGGAAATTCCAGAAAAGTCTGTTGATAACCAAATTCAAGCAAACAACCAAGGTCAGAAAACATTGCACCAGATTCCTTGTGCCTCAGAACAGAATCAGAAAAGAAGAACAAGCTTTATAACAGAGGGTGGCATAGCGCAGAACGCGGGGGCTCCAGGGAGTGACTGGAGTTCTGATGAGGACGACGGCAGCCGAGGAAGATCCGAGCCCAGGTACACATCCACCCTTTCCGGTGACACGTCAGAGGAAGGGGTCCGGGGTAGCAGGATGGGCAGTGAGACGTATTTGACAGCATCTGATGACAGCAGTTCTATATTTGAAGAAGAGACTTTTGGCATAAAGAGACCAGAACATAAGAAGCTGTATTCTTGGCAACAGGAGGCACACTGGAAAGCTCAGAACTGTCTTCTTGGGAAGGGAAATTCTGAGTCAATTAAAAAGGAACACGATAGTTCCTCGGATGAACTGAATAAAAAATTTCAGACTCAGAGACTGCATTATTCATCTTCTTCAAGTGAGGCCAACACCCCAAGCCCTATTTTGACCCCAGCTTTGACTCCAAAATATCCTGATTCACTCCCTGGGAGAGGAACACAATTAGTGCCTTCCTCAAACCTGCCACCCCCAAAGTTAAGGATTCCTAATGTTTTCAGTATAAGTGTCGCACTAGCCAAAAGGCACTTAAGCCAGCCACAATTAAGTTCCGATAGAATATTTGGTACAAACCGAAATGCTATAAGCATGATACGACCACTGAGACCCCAGGAAACAGATCTCGATCTAGTTGATGGTGACAGTACAGAAATGGCAGAGAATATGGACACTAGTTGTGATGACGGACTGTTTTCCTATGACTCCCTTGAATCCCCGTGTTCAGATGACCAGGACACCTGGGACTTAGCGAAGAAGGCAGCCTGCGGCAAACCTCCAACACCTCCCCTGCACCGCTTTCCCTCTTGGGTAAATCGTATTGCCGTGTGCAGCACATGCACGCTAGTTTTTTCTTAACACTTATTTTCAGGTTTTACTCTATTTTCCTGTTTCTCTTCAAATCCAGCTTTGTTCTGAAAATCCCCAGTTTGCAGAATACAGTTTCCTCTTCTCTTTCCCACTGAGTTCTGAATCAGTTGAGAAATAAAACAAGAATAAGACAGATGGGAGATCGAAATATTACCTTTGTTGATGATAAAACTGATTTTAGAGAATTGAAGGGCAAATGAGCTTTCCAATACTGAACCTTAAAATTAGCTAGATTTATTCTCTTTGTCCTGGGTTGCCCTGGATCACCCAGCGTTCCTCCAGTGAGGCTGACGCTCTAAATTAGCTTATGGAGAAAGACCCAATAATTGTTTCCTGCATGCAGTTACTTCTCAAGAGAAGGGTGCTGGGCTCTGCACATCCTGTTTCTCTTTCTAAGCTTACTAGTCACATCAAGGCCCTCTGTGGTCCTTGGGGAAGAGAAAGTGAATGGTTTCAGAGAGCTCAGGCATGTTTGATCACTAGAGCTCCCTCCACATGGGAATAAACATTAAGGGGGGTAAAGAAAGCGTCCTCCTAATTGTGTAATATTTGGAATGAATTCTGGACCAGGACTCTTAACTTACTGATCATCAGTTTTGGAATTTAATCATTTATTTGATTGGCTTTAAGGGAAATTTAAGTTTACTCTTCATGAGCTGCTAAATCCATTTCTTTAACCGAAAGCATCTTCCTATGTATCTAGAATAGACTGAGATTTCCTCCATTGAAGCAAATATATGACATGTATATATAATTAACCCATCAATTGTGTGATTCTTCTTAGGAATATCTATATCTCTAGATATTTAAAAAATCTTTTTATGTTTGAAACAAAGTGAAATCATCCATCTGTTTTGTAGATGGAACTTTTGCTTCGCCTATTGACATAATTTAACCTTTGGCCTCCAGAGAAATGTCTGGGTTGCAGGATTTTTTGGCCTTTGGAGTTGTGTTCTGTTATTACTAATTTTTATTCGGTGACCAATGCAATTTTAAGCAAATTAAGGCAGCCATGTTTTCCTAGTATAAATTCAGATATTGAGATGTATTTGCTTTTATTTGCTTTAAAAAGAACATTTCATTGCAGTGTCAACATGAAACTGTCTGCAGTTGAATACTAAAATCTGGATAGCACGCATAAAGAAGAGGACATTATTGGCATGTGATCTCTGGAATTCCAATTATGTTACCCTTTAGGCAGTGAGGAGTTGAAATTTTGCTTCTTTTATTATGTTGAGATTATCAGAGATTCAGGTTAGGCTTTCAAGTTCATTTTATTTGGCAAATCATTTTACTGCTCTTGCCCTTCTGTCTTCAACTTGTCTTTGGAAGCTATTCAATCCTGAAAAAATAGTATTACTTTTCAAAATCCTTCTAGCAAACTGGCCAAGTCTGCAGTTTCATTTCTGAGTTTGTTAGGTATTTTTCAGGCTTCAAGGAAAAGAGATCTATTCTAGATACTTCAATTTATGAGAGTTTATTTAAGGATTTTTAAGAGTTTATTTTAAGGCACAGCCCATCCTTATTGAAATAGAATATCATTCAAAGTACAATAGTCAGTCTAGTGGGAAAATACGGGATGATTCAGCAAGCACCTCTAATAGTCAACTCCTTAGAAACAGGTGACACCATTGCCCGAAGTCCAGTGGCTCAGCTTGCCCTTTTCCATCTATGGTGACCCTCTGCTTCTCTCCTGCTACTAACTACTCTCCTGCACTTACTCATGGCTTCTAACAGCCTCACGTTTCCTGCTTAGTGCCTTAGTTTTACTCTGCCCTTTGTCTCTCTGTGTGTACAGTCACGCTCTCAAAAGAAACTGCAGTTGATTCATTCAGTCAGTACTTCAGTCTGAAGTGTCTCAGATAATTAGAGATCTCATGCCTGTTACTTTGGGGCCACTGGGTAGCACAGTCCTGCCTTAGTTGCCCACAGTGCCCTGGTGCAGACAACTGTGTCCAGGCCAGATGCATTACAAAGCTCAAGACATAGTGATCTAAGCATTTGGACCAACCTGGAGCCCCTTTTTAAAATGGGGACAGGGCTAATTGACTTTCCAGTAACCATTTTGAAGGTCTTAGAAAAGAGCAAGCAAAGTAACAACCTACTTTTGGAACAATATAATATTGCAAATTCTATTGTAATTCTCAAGTCCATTTAGTACTTGACTCAGATATTTCTTCCATTTCATTGAAATGAGAAGGTGATAGCAACAGTGCTATAATGTGATTTCAAGTTTTTTCTTTTTCTTTAACCGTATTCTAGAATAATAGAATATTGAAGGTAGTATATATGTATAATTAGTGATTATGCATTGTTTCTGACTTCATGTTATAGACATTCAAGGTTTTTTCTTTATGTTCTAGAATGTAGAATGTTAGAAGTGGTATTGATGTATAGTCAGTGATTGTCAGTAAGTTTTCTCTTACTTTTTTCCTCTCTCTTCAAAAGAACTTAAAATACCAAGCAACAATTTGGGAACAAAGCTAAATAATGGAATGACTAATGGATGGAAAAAATGTTTGCAGTGCTATTCACAGTGGCATATTTTAGTTGGCACTGATGACAACTTTATAATAATGCTGTACTCTGGTGAATATTAAATGAAGAACAAATGAAAAACATGGGTGTTGGAAGTAATCATTTATTTGCTTTAAATATCCAGTTTTAATCTCTCTTTTGCATTAGGAAAGCAGAATTTATGCTGTAGCCAAATCAGGCATTCGAATGTCTGAGGCCTTCAACATGGACAATGTTAATAAAAGTAAGTGGCTTTGCATACTGCAACATAGATGAACTCTGAGGACATTATTCTAAGTGAACTAAGCCAGTCACAAAGGACAAATACTGTGTATTTCCACTTATATGAGGTACCTTCAGTAGTCAAATCCATAGAAACAGAAAGTCAAATGATGGTTACTAGGGGCTAGAGAGAGAAGGGAAGGGGAGCAGTTGCTTATGGGTATAGATCAGATTTGCAAGATAAAGTTCTGGATTCTGAATACATCTGATTCACAACAGTGAGGCTGTCCTTAACAGTAACTGAACTGTACACTTAAGAATGGTTAAGATGGTAGATTTTATGTCATGTTTTTTACTCCAATAAAAAAAGTTCTAAAAAAGTGATTTTGTATTGCCATTTCCCTAAGAATTTCCTAAGTTTCTAGAGTCATTGGAATAAATAGAATTATGTAAACTTTCACAGCGTGATTTCTGAGGTTGCTGATTTATATTTTAAAATTGAAATTCATGTTACTCAATATCAGAGCATGTACAACTCTCTCGCAGAGTACCTCTTGATGTTTTTACCTAAAGGGGGCTAAGGCAAACAAACCGTGGAGTTGTAGCTATTTAAAATTGTACAAATATTTGTCTCTATGTCCTTTTTCCCAGAGTTTAAAACACATTCCTCCTTTTTTTCCTTTATTCAAAAAACTATTATAGAAGCCATGCATTCCCATTATAAAAAATAAAATCAAACAACAGAGAACTATCTGGAATAAAAAGAGAAATTTCTCATGGTTTCCTCTACCAGCCCCCTTCCTAATCTTCCGCTAATGCATATCTTAGAGGTAACCATTGATGTTCTAGTCCTTTTCAGCTATCTTTTGTTGTTAGCATTCAGGAAATTATATTCTGACCTTCCAGCATGAGGTTCACTTGATAAAGGCCTAGCAATGTCAATGTTTTAACACCATATCAGTAGTAGGGCTATGAACAATTCATAGGATACTGCTTGCACAATTACTCAGCAGGTGTCTGTACTCATTTCTGCCCAGCCTGAGCTGGCTAGAGATGCCAAAGAAATAAAAGCTATAATCCTCACTTTCAAAGAGCTTACAGTCTAGTGGGGAACTAGCACACATGAAGAAATAATGAGCCATGTAAGAGAGGGTATAATTCTTGAAGTAGACTGTGTAATAAACAACCATGTGTGTTAACCCAGTTTCTCTTGAATTGGATATTTTGACAGTACACATTCATAAAAAGCGGACCTAAGTACTAGTTAGAAAGTTTTTTTAAAAAATCATTCTGTTTTCTGTTTCAGATTCTGTCGCAATGCTTTCCTATTCTACATCAGGACTTTATACATCCTTGATATACAAGAATATGACAACTCCAGTGTTTACAACTTTGAAGGGGGTAACTCATTATTGTTACTGAGTTGTTACCTTATTGTAACTCATTTTTGTTATCATTTTCTCTTCCTGATGGGTCAAGAAAACTGTCTGTTCAAGCCCCAGATTGCGTTCGATATTTTACATAGACTCTCCATTCATAGGGAGTTTTAGAAGTTCACACTAATATAGCATAAAAAGGGAAGAAATGGAAAGATCTGGAGAAGACATTTATATTTATCAGAGTATTAGAGATCTGAGTCCATTTTTGTTATGCCCCACTGATTCCCTACCCACTTCAGGGCTGTGAGTTGTTTAAAGGAAACCTATTATTAATGATGTACTGAAAACTCCTAATTTGAAAAGATCTTTGTATCGTTGCCAGGGTTCCCCTGCCTTGCTTAACTACCTGATTAAAATAAATGTCGTCAGATATTAATGGCCTTCTGTTTTCAGGAAATTTTTATAATTGACAAAAATGCCTGTTAATGAGAATTAGGAGTTTAACAGTAAGACTTTGGTAATGGCAAAGTATATTCTTATATTCCTTAAAAAAAAATCTCATTACAAAACTCCATTTTTAAGTATTTTTTAAATTATTTTATTTTTTATTAAAGTATAGTTGGTATACAATATTGGTTTCATATATACAAAGTAGTGATTCAGCAGTTATATAAATTACTAAATCCTCACCCCATACTAGTGTAGTTTACACGACTTTTTGGTAAACTATTCTTTATCTAAAGAGAGGTGGCTTTAGAGATGGACACTGGAGGCTGTCTGCTTTTCTTTAGAAGGCGACCCAAATAAGCAGCAGCCCATTCCTGGATGACTCCTCTGGGTCAGACGAAGAAGATAGTTCCAGATCCAGTTCCCGGACTTCGGAGTCAGACACACGCAGTAGGAGTGGGCTGGGCAGCCCAAGAGCCATTAAACGAGGTGAGGGGAAGTCTCAGCCCTACAAGCCAACTCTGAATAATTCAGAATACTTAATGGGAATTTTATCTCCATAATAGGATTTTTAAAAAGAAAAACCAAAGTATTTGCTTCAAACCATAGTGAAAAGCTAGGGCTAGGACCCTTATATTCTAGTTCTCTCTTCTTAATTCTCCTTGGGACAGTCTTTTTTTTTTTTTTAGTCTTATCTTCTAAGAGAGAGATCACTTTGTCTTTATCATAGAAATAAAATGAGTTAATTGGCCAAAATGAGATTTGCTTTTTATAGTTATTGTGTGGTATTTTGGATAATTTATGAGATAGGCTTATTTCAGCTAAATTTGTTACAGTGCTAAATGGCAGAAAACACCCTGAAGTCTGGTGATTCATCTGATATGAAGATGAAAACCAACCAAAACTTCACTTTGAGCATGTCTATGATTTTTAGTGGATTTTTGAATAAAGTTTTGGCATAGGTAGAGGTTGCAGAGAGATCTAATCACGCTAAATGACATCTGCATTTTACAGAAGACTGTAATGCAGTATGGTCTGTCGGTTTTCAAACCATATTCCATGGAACCCCTACATACTACTCACCCCCTCAGCTTCGACCAAGGCTGTTCACAGGTTTAATATTTTGAGCTTCCTCTGGTCTTTTTGCTCCTACCTTGGCCTCCAACAGTCAGAATCAGTTTATATCACATTTTTGCTTAAAGCACTGCAAGGACTTATAATAGCTATAAGATGTTATGTGATTCTTTTATGTCTTTGATCTCACCTCCTTTCTCCTCCCTTACTCAGCCTCTGGCCACATCAGCGCTCCTGCGGCTCCTACAACAGGCCAGGCATGCTTTTATTTTAGGACTTTTGTACTGATTGTTTCCTTTTCTTGGGATTCTTCTCTCAGATGTCTGTCTAGCTAACTCTGGCCCCTCCTTCAGTACTTTGCTCAAGTACTGCCTTCTTAAAAGATCTACTGTGATCACACCATCCAAACTGTAGGCTTTCACCCTTCTCCAGCTGCTGGCTCTTTTTACTACCTTTAGTCTTCACTACCTTAGTCTCTACATTTTATTTCTCCATAGCACCTACTGCCTGCTTTTTGTCTGTCTCCCCCAACTAGAATCTGTGTTCCACGAGGACAGAAATGTTTCTATTTTGTTGTCTGCTCTGTCCCTAGCACCTGGGGTAGTGCTTAGCTCGCTGGCCCTGGGGCTGGGAGCCTGAGATTTGCACTCCAGTATTGTGCCTGCCTAGCTACTTCACTTCAGACAAATCCTTTGATCTTGGGACTTTAGTCTCCTTAGAGAATGAGGGCATTAATCAGGCTGATCTCTGAGGTCCCTTATAGATCTAAATTTCTGTTATTTTATGAAAAATAAAGATGTTACTATTATCACAACTGTCACTTGTCTTAGTCAAAGAAGTGAGAATAATGATATAGTGACATTGTCCTAATATGTCCCTTAAATGTTAATAAGTACTTTAAAAAATTATCAGATGACTTAATGAATAATAACCTAATTCTTTATTTATTTAATATATTAAAAATCTCCAATTGTAGTGACCCTCCAAAAGTGGCTTGTAACTTGTATGTCATTTTCTAAAAAGACAAGTGAATTAGGGTGAAAATGCTCCCTTGAATTTTACTTTATAGCTGCTGTCAAATGAAATCATCCATTTATTACTTTAAGTCTGATTGCTTCTCTTTTACAAGACTTTTAAAATCTATAAACTACTGGTATTGGATCTACATGAAAAAGACTACTGAAATTGTGGAGTTAAAAAATTGAATTACTTTAAAAGTGGTCACAAAAGATAAGTGGTTTAAAATGTGATTATGCAAATCTTGACAAATTGAGATGAAACATTTATTTGCCTGTGTATCAATAGGTAAATAGCACATATTTTAAATCTTTAATAAAATATATGTTGGTAGATTATTGCATATATTTTATGTATGTAAAAATATCTGTGCTTATGATCATACCACAATATGATTTATGTTCCTTTGACTTCCGTGGATATTTTCATGATCGTTCTTACCATTCTGGTTCTGTTTTCTAACTTTAAAGTTCATCATGGCCAAAGGCATGAAAATAAATCTAGTCTAGGAAGACTTATGATTTAGGAATAGCTGTATTCCTTAGGAGAACTCACAGCTGGCATCGGCAGCAGCCAATTATTAAATATTCACTTGTTTTATTTCTTTATTCATCTAGGTGTGTCTCTCTCTTCTGTGGCTTCTGAAAGCGACTATGCTATCCCCCCAGATGCTTATTCCACAGACACAGAGTACTCACAGCCAGAACAGAAGCTCCCTAAAACGTGCTCGTCTTCTAGTGATAACGGGAAAAATGTAAACACTGAATCAGGTGTTTTTTTTTAATATTAATGAATCCGTTAGTTTGAGCCTCCAAAAGGAAATTTAAATACTTTTTAAAATCTCCTTTTAACCAGGAACCCCTGGAAAAATCTGGCTATTTATTAAAAATGAGTGGTAAAGTCAAGACTTGGAAGCGGAGGTGGTTTGTTCTTAAAGGTGGTGAATTACTTTACTACAAATCTCCGGTGAGTGGAAAGTGGTTGTTTTTTAGAACTTAATTCCTCAAAGTATAAATCAAACTGCTGATTGAGGTTCTTCCCTGTAATGCAGTTAATGTCTATTATTAGTATTATAGGGAATCACTTTACATTTGGTTTTCTTCCTTTCCTGCAGAGTGATGTAATTAGAAAACCCCAGGGCCATATTGAATTTAGTGCATCCTGCAGTATTTTAAGAGGGGACAACAAACAAACAGTTCAGGTACCTCTTTCTTTTCTTTTTTTTTTTTTGTATCATGCAAACTCAATTCACAATTATCTAAGCTAATATAGAGGAGATTAGATGATTCAGTGTTTCTTTATTCAATTTGGGTCAACTTTGATGCCTCAAAAATGTGTGAAGGCCCAGGAGTTCTTTGTAAAAACTATCCTCTACGCAAGGTTTGTATTAAGTGACTCCCCACTACACTTCCTTTGCCTTTTACCCCTTACCTCGTTCCTTCTCTATACTCCCAGCTATTCTCGGCTCTCAAACTGTCTAGCTGTGTTAGGGGAGGGGTATCTAATAAATGAATTCCCAATGAGATGTTATTTATTTAATATAGTACTAAATTCAAAAGTGTTTGCATCTTAATACAGAACCAGAAAATGGTATTTCTTCTATGAACTTCAGATGCTACAATAGCTAAGTGGGAAAGATAGTGATGAGCAGAGAGGCTCCTTAGATCCCACAAAGTTGTACCACAGAGGTAGCTGCTGACTATTCCACCCACACGAGAGGCCTGCCTGTCTTGCCAAAACCTGTTATATTTAAAACACAGATTGTGGAAGTAATTTGGCATATGTGACTTAAATACAGACTTTATTTTTGAAATGCTTTCAATAATCATTATTTTCTTATCTTGCTCCTTTGGAGTGTGGTACATTATTGATGTTTCCAGTGGATAATATCTGAGAACAGTCCAAAAATGTAGAAAAGAGAATTAGGGAAAAGTTTTGTCTTGAAGCATCGCAGATAAGAATCATTTGTAAGCTTCTCAAGTATTTGGAAAATTTGAAACGGGTTTGTGAGTTCATAATATGTGATCACATGTTACCTCTCAGAATCTCTCTTCTTATATGCAAGGTCTTCTTATTTTACTTACAATTGATTTCTTCATTTCCATAACAAATAACTCCTCTTTATTTGCTAAAAGTATATTATTTTATTACAGTCTCCAGTCATTCTGCTTCTCATTTCAACAACCAGGAGCCTGTAGCAAATTTAAGGGAGAAAAGAAAAATGTGATGAATAAACAAGATAAACAATCATAACCCAAAAGCTTAATACTATGAAAAGTTTTAAAGTAAACTGAAGTGAAAAAAATTATTTAAACAAAAATTCAATTGTTATAAATCTCACAAAGTGGTCTAAATATTATAAATTATTTATGGAGTCACTTACTTAGCACCTAAAATCCAAGGGTTAGCATGTTTGTTTCTGCCTTAAATAGTGGTATTTGAAGAATGGACCGGGAAATGCTAATGATCCTGAATCATCAGAGTTTCCTTGCTGTCCCTTTCTCATCCCATTCTAGCTGACCACCGAAAAGCACACATACTACCTGACTGCAGATTCTCCCAATATTTTGGAGGAATGGATTAAAGTGTTACAGAACGTTCTTCGAGTACAAGCTGCCAACCCGCTTTCCCTGCAGCCTGAAGGCAAACCAGCAGTGAAGGGACTGCTCACGAAGGTAGGAAGGTTCTTTGCAGAGCAGCGTCCTGACCCGCTCGGGGATTAGCCCCACTGATCATGAAAAGTGGGTGTTGGAGAAGGTATGTGTAGAATATTTATGTCATCTCGGTGGTGGGGGGTGGGTTGTGTTTTACATATGATACCAAAGACCAAACCCATAGATGAAAAATGCGGAATTTGCTACTATACATAAAAATGTATGTTCTTACTGTCAAAAATCCTCTAAGAATTTTTAAAAGACAGATGGAAAGCTTGGAAAAGGCATTTGGAAACATGTAAAAAAAAAGCCTTTTCTAATCAGTAAAAAAAGGATAAATTCCAATGGGGGGAAGGAACAAAGGACTCAATGGGAAAGAACTAGAGCTAGTAGAGATAAGAAATACAAATGATATTTTTAAAAATCTGGTCAAGGAAGGGTTTTTTAAAATTAGGAAATGCAGTATTGACACACATTGGATAATCTGCTAGTGAGTGTTACTCTAGAAGGCAGTTTGACAATGTCTTGGCCAAAGTGTTAATTCAGTAAATATTTTTGAATGTACAAATGAGTGAATGAATACTAAATGTTTTAAAAACATGTACATACCTTAACAATGAAGCAAAACTGAAGGAAGAAAATAGCAGCAGACTCACAGACTCCAAGAAGGCACTAGCGTTACCAAAGGGGAGGGATGAGGGAAGGCAGATGGGAAGGGAGGGTGAAGGGGATTGAGGGGTATCATGACTAGTGCACATGGTGTGTGTGGGGGTCACGGGGAAGACAAGTAGGGACACTATGACATCTTACTACACTTATGGACAGTGACTGCAATGGGGTATGGGGGGGGCGACTCCACAATAAGGGTGAATGTAGTAACCACATTGTGCTTCTTGTGAAGCCTTCATAAGATTGTATATCAATGGCACCTTAATAATAATAAAAAAAACATGTATATACCTTTACATCCAGCAGTCTTAGTCCAAGAAATTTATGTATGTAGGAAGTGGTCTTCATTTGCCAAAGATTTAATTTAAGTAGAAGGATGTCCTTCACAGCATGCTTTTTTCCTATTTAAAAAAAAAATGAGGTATAATTAACATACACTGAAATGCAGATCATAAATGTAGAATTTGATGATTTTTGACAGATGTTTACTGTCATTCTATCAAGATATAGAATGTTTCTATTACCCCCTAGAAAGGCTACTTGCATGACATGGTTTATAATGAAGAAAAATTGAAATCAACTTATATATAGAGTAGGGAATAGCTTAAATAAATATTTGTAAAATCAAATGCTCACTATGCAGCCACTTTGAATGTTGTAAAAGACTATTTAATGCTACTGAAGTATGTTATGCTCTATTGTTAGGCGATAAAATAAGTAGATGCAGTATTATGTTATTATCCCATTTTTGTTATATGTATTCATATATGTATTCTGAATGGGAAATATACCAGAGTATGTTGGTTATCTCAAAATGATTTTATCTTATTTTTGCTTGCTTCTGTTTTCTAACTTACTCAGAAGTTTAAGCTTAATAAGATAATTAAAATAAAATAAGTAATATTTCATTAAAATATTTACACAAAAAGTATTACACACAAAAATAACTTCTCTGCGTAATCATTCATCACTCATATGCTTTGTTTATGTAAAAGGTGAAAAATTTAGATGTAGGTGAGCTATATACCACCATGTAGTTTATACTTAACATTAATGTAGGTGGGTGCTCTTCAGTAATATTTACACAGATTGACCTCTTGTATCAAAAGTAAGAGAAAAATTCACCAATGCATTCAACAGAGATTCACTATGTTTTTTCCAAAAATTACATTACCATAAAAATGTTTTTTCAGTTACTGATAGGCTACATACACCTTGCTATTGTGCAAATATGTATTTTCCAATGAGCACAGTACTATATATCTTTACTATAATTCATAATAACTAGCTGCCTCTTGTTTGAAGGACCATGGACAGTAAACTTTTAGACTTTAATATGATCCTGTTGCCAAGGATTTGTTATTTCTTCCACAACAACTTTTTTTCTTTGATTGTTTTACTTTATCAGCATGGCATTGTCAATTTCTGCACATACTGCATTTCTGCTATTCCTTATTTTCCATTTCACAATTGCATTCTAAATGAGTATAATTTGATACGATTATCAGATGACTAAACCATTTGGATTTATAGACAGGATTCTTATTAGGTTTCCTTCCTACTTTGTGAAGACTTGTCCACCCCCATATTTTCACCCTCAGAATCTTACAAGAGAAAAACCTCCCTGAGTTATTCTGAGTGACTTATTCTGATCTCACATTCAGGCTACAATTTGAGGTACTGTAAAATAGCATCTGAATATTTTGGAGGGGAGGAGGTTTATTTCACACTACCACATTGCTATTAAGTACAGAAACGTGTAGGTAGGTATTAAGGACTTGACTAATTTGATTCTGGATATTAGCTCTTTCAACTTTTATTTTAATACTTAGGAAGAACATTTTTTATATAAAATACATTCATTTAAAAAACAAAAATCTATCAAGCAGTTACCACATGCCAGGCAATGGGCTGAGAATATTAAGATGAATGTGTCTCTGTCCCGTCAACCCTCAGAGAGCCTCATAATAATCTCTTGGGAAAGGAGATACAGCATATTTATAATGATATATATATATATATAAGGTGCAATTATTGAGATGCATAGTAAGGTCACAGAGAAATCTAATTGAGGCTGTGGGATCAGGAACACTTTGCAGAGAAGATTTACTTGTGCTGAATTTTGAGGGAGGAGTAGGAATAGTAGGGAAGGCATCCTGCGCTAGGACACAGCAGGAACATACTGTCTCGAGCAGAGCCACCTATGCTAAAAACAAGTCCTTCAGAGAAAAAGCTGGAGGGACCTGGTCATGGAAGGCTTTTTTTTTCTGGTCTTGTTAAGTAGTATGTTCTTCATCCTGAAGGTGATGCAGAACCCTTCCGGGTTTGTAACAGGGACATGGACATATTCATATTGTCAACAGATAACTCTGCTGAGAGGAAGATGAATATGTGGGAGGCAAACTGGAAGTTCTAAGAACAGTGAGCAGAAGTGGTTCTCGTGAAGAGGATGAGATTCTGAACTGATCACAGAGAAAATGAAGAGAGGGTGATAAATAATGGTAGAAGGTAAACTCTTTAGTAAGGTTGAGTAAATTCAGGGTTAGAGAGTGGGAGAGACAAGGATGACTGGGGGAAAGATGGTGCCACATTAGACAGAGCTCAGGAAAGAGGAGCAGTTTTAGGATAATTAAAAGGTTGTTTTGCAACATGCCAATTTTTAGAGCTTTGAGGACACCTTAATTAAGAAATCCAGCAGGCAGTGGCAGTATGAGTCTACATCAGAGGAGAGGAAAGAAGGATTTGGAAACATCAGCATATATGTGGTAGTTGAATTTGTGACAGTGAGAGAAATCCCCCAGGAAAATGCATAGGGTGGGAGGAGCAGAGGACTGTTAATGGAACACTGGGGGTTACAAAATTGAGAGTACATAAAGGAGACATACGAAGCGACCCTGAGAAGTAATTTATGGAGGCCAGAGAGTGGACCGTGTGACACGGAGGGAGTGAACTGCAGTATCAGAGGTAGAAGATGCCCAGGGAGGAAGGTACATTGCAGTGCGTTGAAGGATAAAGGGGAGATGAGGAAGTGCAATATTTGAGTTTGGAGGACTGTCTGTGCTTTCTGGTACATTAAGAAGAATAAAGCTGGAAGGGAGCATGGTGTCAGATAGGCATGTTTTAGTATAGGAAAGATATACCTTGAGTTTACAAACTGAGGGGAAGAAGCCAGAAGAGAGGAGATTAAGAACAAAATCCAGAAGTGGATAGGCAGGCATGATGAGAAGGCAGTGGGGGGGTAGGACTGGCAGAAAGGTCAGCAAGGGTGAATATCCAAGTCTGTGGGCATTGAGTGAGAACATGTCTGATGTCCTCAGCTTTCTTAGTGACAATTACCTGGAAAACAAAGTTATTTACTGAGAGTGAGGGAAAGGATTGAGAATAACGAGGGAAATAAGATATACCTAAGGTTAAATGGAAGGATTGGTAAGTGTTACTGAAGGCCCATCTGAGTAGTGATTTCAGTTCATATTGGTTACTTTCCTCTAAAATATTCAGATGTCCAGAAACAGGAGCAGAGAATTCACATTGTAATGATATGAGTGAGGATAGTCATTTCTTTCTAACATTATGTAGATTTTTAAATGTGCAGAAAAGACAGGAGAATATTTTACAGTGAACACACATATTCACACCACCTAGATTCTACTACCATTTTGCTTGCTTTATACATACTTATTAAGATGATTTCAAACCAATGATTTGTTGCGGGTATTTTCAAACATAAGAAAGTAGACGGAATAATAGGGCAAACTCTGAAGTATTCATCATCCAGTTTCCACAGTTATTAACTGTGGTGAATGTCACTTTCTGAAAACCCCCGTAACCTCTCTTCCCACGCTCTCCAGTGGATTACTTAAAAGCAAACAGAGATGAAATTCTGTTGAGTAGATGTGTTAGAAGCGTAGGGATGCAGCATAATCACAGACCTTGGAGCAAGAGCTGTTTTGTGAACAAACACGGGATCCAAGGTTGGTAGAGAAAGGAGAGAGGCCAGGTGGGCACTGATAAGCTGCAATAAAATGGAAGGATCAGCGACTGAAGTTTTGAATGAGGTCCAAGATTAGGAATTTTGTGAGAAAAGAGGGAGGGAGCTGGGAGGAGGTTGAGATCAGAGAATAGAATAACAGTGTCAGAAGTAGAGCAGTTCCCAGGGGGTAAAAGTGACTAGGGTGTGGTAGAGGGGATGGATGGCAAAAAAGGAGAGAGAGCAAATGTCACTGGAAATGAAGAAGGCAAGAGCGGTGAGTTAAGGATGCAGAAAGGCAAGAGAGCAAAGAGGCTGGGGCAAGAGCCTGACAGTTGCCACTCGTGTGACCTCGAACGTGTTACTTGCGGGCTCTGTTGACATAGTGTCGTCATTGGTAAAGTGGGATAATAACTGTGCCAACCTCACAGGCTGTTGGAAGGGTTAAATGAATTAAAAACATGTTAAAGTGCTTTAGAACAATGCCTGCCACATCAGAAACACTCCAAATATGCTTACTATTATTATCCTAAGAGTTTCACCTGGCTATTGAAGTCAGCAAGGCTGGTGGCAGAATTTGTGGTGCAGAAGGCAACAGGCATGAGAATATAGGAGAGGAAAGACTGTGGGAGTTTCTACTTTCTGTGATGACAAAGGCTCATTGGGATACGAATCACTGTTGGTCTCAAAGTTTCAAACAGAACTAATATGAAGTGCCTTTGTTATAGATGCAAGGTAAAATATTATTCTTTCAATTATTTAGTTCCCCAAAGGCTTGAAGTTTGAAGTTGCCTTCAAATCTTCATGAGGAGTCTTCTAGAAAATTTGCTTTATTATGAATTCTTCAGACTAACTCAGTTTTTAAAAATCCTAATATAATCAGATATAGATATAAAGATAGACTTCTTTAAATAGTCAATGTTGATAATAATATGTAATACATAAAAATAGTTAATAGACAACTTTTATAGTGAATTGACAAAGGTCTTGGTTACTTCTCAGTTCTTCAGAAGTACACATTGTTTTGTTTTAAAGAGAAATCATTTCCAAGATATGCTTTCTACAGCCAGATGCATTAATATGTCAGTTTTGCTGAAACTCCCTTCTGGCATTTGTTTAAAAAAGAGGAAAAAAAACCCTGCATAACAAACTATTTTAAACTCACAGGATACTTGTCTGTAAATATGTGTTTCTAAATTTAATTAAACTGAGCCATGTCTTGCCAAATGAAACATTTTTTTCATTTTTTTTTTCCTAAAGCAGCGTTCTAAATACACCAAACTATTAGATGATGGAGTTAATTTGCTCCCTTAAACCATAGCTTTAAAAGCCCAAAGGCTGGCTGCATTTGTGGGTTTAAATGAAGCATGTTTTACTTCTTATTCATAGTGAGGAAGGAAGCACTTATTGAGTAGCTACTATTATCCTTTATTTACATTTTCTCCTTTGGCCATCACAACGCCCAATAAGGTGTACAGTAATCCTGTGTTATCAAAAAACCAAAAAGAAACTAAGCATTTGAGTCAGTTGGCCTGAGGACATCCATCTCGTACAAGGCAGAATTGGAATTTAAGTTTTGGTCTGTTCCACCTTAAAACACAGACCTTTTTCTACACAGCAGCAGGCCTACTGTAAATCTACTATAGCAATAATTTATTTATTCTTTGGTATCATTAATGTACAATTACATGAGCAACATTGTGGTTACTGGATTCCCCCCATTGTCAAGTCCCCATATAGCAATACTTTTTATTTTTCTCAATGTATCCCAACAGAACAGTCCATTTAAATGTAAGTCATTATTGGCATCCCCCAACCCTCACCTCTGCCCTTCCCCATTGACCTCTCCCTGTGCTCACTGAGTCTCAGACACACACCATCTCAGGGCCTGTGAGCTTGCTGCTTCCTTTGGTTGGAACGTTCTCTCAGATGACTGCATAGCTCATCTGGCTCCTTCAGGCATGACTCCATGTCAGCGAGGCCTTCCTCAGAACTTTATTTGAAATTGTAAAATACCTCCAGCCCCTTCACCAAGCACTTTCTTCTCCTTTTCTGCTTTATTTCTCTCCTTAATACTTATCACTTTGGGCAAGCATGACAACAGAATCCTGGGCTTTAGTTGTACTGGCCAGTGTCTTGGTTCCAGACAATGGGCCTCTCCAGACTGAAGCCTACTCTAACTAATGCAGGAGAGGGCCTAACATCAAGGCAGAAGTTGACGGGACTGCCGGGGCAGTGGGATTATAGGGCAAGTTCAACCAGGCAACCATATTCTAGGTCAGGGCAATAGAGTTTATTGTAAATCTTACCCACTGGTGGGAATGTGGTTCTTGGTGTTTTTCTAGGCCTAAGAATATAGCTGGGGACTGTCTGGCAAAGCATTGTAAATCCATCAAACTGTTAAATAGTGGAGTTATTTTCTTTCTTAAACCATAGCTTCAGTGCCTATACTTGGGCAAGTCTGGGACAGTAAGGAACTCACAGTAAGCATCTTCATAAAGCACCACCTGACAAAAAACCTACAATACTCAGTAAATAAATTTGGTAAAATGTCTTCCACATAAAATACATAAAAAACTCTTTGTGTTTTGATGAAGCATATAGCATACTGCTGGTTAATTGTCTGTTTTCCTCACAAAGCTGTAAGCTTCTTGAGGAAGGACACTAGGTCTAGTTCATATCTATCCCCAGAACCTAGACCAGTTTCTGACGATTCAAAGTCAAGAGCTAAATTCAAAATCTGTCCTCGTCACTTAACATAGTTCCTGACATATTGGAAGTACTCAATATAATAGTAGCTTTTAATATATTTTTCTTATTTTGCATGAATCCTTCAGGAGAAGCATCAAATGTTTTGAACGAATGAATCTTTTACATTTGGGATACCACTAGAATTCTTTAGGTGTTAATCTTGTCATTTCTAACATTAGGGAGCTAACCCAGAAAGTCACAGTGTTATTGGAAATCTATGAAATTTGGAAATTATGCAATATGCTTACCTATGAAACTGTCATCTTGTCTTCAATTCTCAGTTCTAGGCATAGTACTTCACCTATAGCAAACTTTTGCTAAGTGGGTGAGCACCAAAGCAAAACGTGCCATACTGCTACTCTAACAGTAAATATTAAACAGCATTTGGATTGTCTAGTTGGAATATCACTTGCACTCTGAGCAAACTGGATACCTGTACAGCTTTAAATGGAATGTAAATACTATACTTAAGGTGTGAGAGTTTTGAGCTACATTTATAATTCTTTGAAATATGATTTCAGGTAAAACATGGCTATTCCAAGAGAGTCTGGTGTACACTTACAGGAAAAACATTATATTATTTTCGTAGTCAAGAAGATAAGGTATGTATGTATTTTTAATATGCTAAGTAGAGGAATTTTTTTGTTTGTTATGGCTTGAAGTTTTCCCTTTCCCTTTCATGTTGCTAGCTAAAACTGTATAATTTTTGATAAGGTTGATAACATTGCATAACATTTTTACTGAGGTAATCATGTACCCACAAATATCTTGATTCTTAATCACAAGTTTTAACAATTTTAACTAATGCATCTTTGTCTTAAAGAGAAAAGTCTTCCTCTACCCTACTCCCAAACATCGTATTTTCCCAAATTCTGACAAACTGGATAAGGTTGAATCTAAGGTCTTGGTTACTTCTCAGTTCTTCAGAAGTACACATTGTTTTGTTTTAAAGAGAAATCATTTCCAAGATATGCTTTCTACAGCCAGATGCATTAATATGTCAGTTTTGCTGAAACTCCCTTCTGGCATTTGTTTAAAAAAGAGAAAAAAAAAACCTGCATAACAAACTATTTTAAACTCACAGGATACTTGTCTGTAAATATGTGTTTCTAAATTTAATTAAACTGAGCCATGTCTTGCCAAATGAAACATTTTTTTCATTTTTTTTTTCCTAAAGCAGCGTTCTAAATACACCAAACTATTAGATGATGGAGTTAATTTGCTCCCTTAAACCATAGCTTTAAAAGCCCAAAGGCTGGCTGCATTTGTGGGTTTAAATGAAGCATGTTTTACTTCTTATTCATAGTGAGGAAGGAAGCACTTATTGAGTAGCTACTATTATCCTTTATTTACATTTTCTCCTTTGGCCATCACAATGCCCAATAAGGTGTACAGTAATCCTGTGTTATCAAAAAACCAAAAAGAAACTAAGCATTTGAGTCAGTTGGCCTGAGGACATCCATCTCGTACAAGGCAGAATTGGAATTTAAGTTTTGGTCTGTTCCACCTTAAAACACAGACCTTTTTCTACACAGCAGCAGGCCTACTGTAAATCTACTATAGCAATCATTTATTTATTCTTTGGTATCATTAATGTACAATTACATGAGCAACATTGTGGTTACTGGATTCCCCCCATTGTCAAGTCCCCATATGGCAATACTTTTTATTTTTCTCAATGTATCCCAACAGAACAGTCCATTTAAATGTAAGTCATTATTGGCATCCCCCAACCCTCACCTCTGCCCTTCCCCATTGACCTCTCCCTGTGCTCACTGAGTCTCAGACACACACCATCTCAGGGCCTGTGAGCTTGCTGCTTCCTTTGGTTGGAACGTTCTCTCAGATGACTGCATAGCTCATCTGGCTCCTTCAGGCATGACTCCATGTCAGCGAGGCCTTCCTCAGAACTTTATTTGAAATTGTAAAATACCTCCAGCCCCTTCACCAAGCACTTTCTTCTCCTTTTCTGCTTTATTTCTCTCCTTAATACTTATCACTTTGGGCAAGCATGACAACAGAATCCTGGGCTTTAGTTGTACTGGCCAGTGTCTTGGTTCCAGGCAATGGGCCTCTCCAGACTGAAGCCTACTCTAACTAATGCAGGAGAGGGCCTAACATCAAGGCAGAAGTTGACGGGACTGCCGGGGCAGTGGGATTATAGGGCAAGTTCAACCAGGCAACCATATTCTAGGTCAGGGCAATAGAGTTTATTGTAAATCTTACCCACTGGTGGGAATGTGGTTCTTGGTGTTTTTCTAGGCCTAAGAATATAGCTGGGGACTGTCTGGCAAAGCATTGTAAATCCATCAAACTGTTAAATAGTGGAGTTATTTTCTTTCTTAAACCATAGCTTCAGTGCCTATACTTGGGCAAGTCTGGGACAGGAAGGAACTCACAGTAAGCATCTTCATAAAGCACCACCTGACAAAAAACCTACAATACTCAGTAAATAAATTTGGTAAAATGTCTTCCACATAAAATACATAAAAAACTCTTTGTGTTTTGATGAAGCATATAGCATACTGCTGGTTAATTGTCTGTTTTCCTCACAAAGCTGTAAGCTCCTTGAGGAAGGACACTAGGTCTAGTTCATATCCTATCCCCAGAACCTAGACCAGTTTCTGACGATTCAAAGTCAAGAGCTAAATTCAAAATCTGTCCTCGTCACTTAACATAGTTCCTGACATATTGGAAGTACTCAATATAATAGTAGCTTTTAATATATTTTTCTTATTTTGCATGAATCCTTCAGGAGAAGCATCAAATGTTTTGAACGAATGAATCTTTTACATTTGGGATACCACTAGAATTCTTTAGGTGTTAATCTTGTCATTTCTAACATTAGGGAGCTAACCCAGAAAGTCACAGTGTTATTGGAAATCTATGAAATTTGGAAATTATGCAATATGCTTACCTATGAAACTGTCATCTTGTCTTCAATTCTCAGTTCTAGGCATAGTACTTCACCTATAGCAAACTTTTGCTAAGTGGGTGAGCACCAAAGCAAAACGTGCCATACTGCTACTCTAACAGTAAATATTAAACAGCATTTGGATTGTCTAGTTGGAATATCACTTGCACTCTGAGCAAACTGGATACCTGTACAGCTTTAAATGGAATGTAAATACTATACTTAAGGTGTGAGAGTTTTGAGCTACATTTATAATTCTTTGAAATATGATTTCAGGTAAAACATGGCTATTCCAAGAGAGTCTGGTGTACACTTACAGGAAAAACATTATATTATTTTCGTAGTCAAGAAGATAAGGTATGTATGTATTTTTAATATGCTAAGTAGAGGAATTTTTTTGTTTGTTATGGCTTGAAGTTTTCCCTTTCCCTTTCATGTTGCTAGCTAAAACTGTATAATTTTTGATAAGGTTGATAACATTGCATAACATTTTTACTGAGGTAATCATGTACCCACAAATGTCTTGATTCTTAATCACAAGTTTTAACAATTTTAACTAATGCATCTTTGTCTTAAAGAGAAAAGTCTTCCTCTACCCTACTCCCAAACATCGTATTTTCCCAAATTCTGACAAACTGGATAAGGTTGAATCAGTCTGTGACTGATTACTGTGTTAATGAGACTAAACCTCTTGGCCCAGTGATTATGTGGGTCAGTTAGTATTTCTCTGTTCCATTTTCGCAAATTGAACTCCCATTTCTGGCTACCTGTATTTAAAATACATACGTTGTTCTCAGTATTGCTCCTGGGATGGAAATTGACACAGTGCAGACATTGGAAATGATACCTCTGAAGTCATGTGAGAAAGTGCTCACAAAAAATGCTACAAGAATAAGCCCAATACAAAATTGCATGTTCAGTATAATCCCAACTAAATTATAAATCAGGAAAACAGAAGTCACTCAATGTACTCCAGGTATAACAATTTTAGTATAAAATTAGGGACATACAGAACTTTTAGAAGCATTACATAACTTTTATAAAAGTTGGGGGAATAGAAGTCAGAGAAGTTGCTGCTGAAGGTCCAAGAAGTCAACACTGAAGATCTGAGCCCAAAGCACAGAGGCAGCTGGTCCTTACCAGTTTACTGGGAAGCTTCTGTGACTCTTGTATCAGCCTGGGCATCTACCTGCAGCTGCCTCAGGAGAATAAAGACTGTTCTCTCATCCTTACCTTCCATATCTCACACCAGTTCTCTCAAAGGCAAACCTTCACTTGGAACCACAGAAGGAAGGGGATTATGACAGAGTTCCCAACTTCTCTTCTGCCTTTATGGGGAGGCTTTAGAAGAGGATGGTTGGGATGCTGACTTTATAATTCTCAGTCTAGTGCATCTGTGTAATAATATGCACAACACAAATATCTGAAAGAACTATACCAAAATGTTGAGTAAATATCTGTCACAGCAGAATTAGATATTTTCCTTTTTTTAAAAAAAAAAAACCTTTCTATTCTTAACAAGTTTCTATAATAATCATGTGTTTTATAAATAGAAAAATAATTTAAAATTTGCTGAGAGTAGAACTTAAATGTTCTCACCAATAATATTAGTAATAATCTAATAAAAATGGATAACATTGGCCACAAAAAAAAAATCAGAAGACTGTAGATTGATGAGTTGAAATCTATTATAATTACTGGAAAAGTACTGAGAATGTATGTGTAGCAGTACAGGATCACTTCATTTTGTGCTACAGATCTTTCAGTAACAATTTGTTTTTAATCTGGATCAGTGTCTTTTTTTATTCAGTCAAAATACTGACAGGTGCTAGGTTCTAGTTCACTGTTTTTGGAGCCTTGGTAAACCGAATCCTTTGGTAAATAATCATCTTTAAATATTGGAGTGGATAAAACCTTAATTTTCATATTATTGGATATACCTAAAACACACAATTAAGATAGTATTCTCATGTATTATCATAGTAGAATTAGTTTTCTCTATCCCATTTTTTTAAAGCTTGCTTTCCTCTTATTAATGTCACTTCTCTGCCCTTTTATTTTGCTTTTTTGTTTGTTTGTTTTACTACCCTTCTTTTTCTGAAAATATAGATAAGTTAACTTTGCACTTTTCCTTCAAAAGTAAATTTTCTTATTTAGTACCCAGAATAGTGCTTTGCACATGGTAACTACTGAGAAAATAATTGTTATTAATATGATAGGGGAAAAGTCATGTTTCTCATGAAAGACAACCCATTTAATCAAATCAATTAACTTTTTACTGTTAATCAGCTAGTAGGCAGATAATACTGCATTTTAGATGAGAGGATATCCAGGTAAGACCTCACTGAGAAGCTGATATTTTAATTGGGTTTTGAAGGAAGTAAAAGGGCAGCCATGTGGATATTTCAGGCAAGAACATTCCAGAAAAAGGGAACAGCAAATGCAAAGCCCTGAGGCAGGAGCATGCCGGGTGTGTTTAAGGAATAGTGAGAAGGTCAGTGTTGATGCCAAGGTTCTGGGCCTGGGCATAAATGTGTATGATGGTACATGTCCTTGGTGTTAGAAGGAATATTTTCAGATTGCAATTGCAAAACTGATCAAATATTTCATAAACTGGAAGTCTGAAGCAGACTATGTTTTCCTGAAATAAAAGTACTGATGAAAGAAAAAGTTTTAAAACACATATGCCCAATATTTAACACAATGAATATAATGGGTTTTTTCAATAAAAAAGAGAAGGTAAAATTTAATGTAAATCAACTTCAGGAAGTTTTTACCCTTAAAATAAGATGGAAGAAATCAAAGCATTGTTTGTGATATATTAAATTTGTTAATAAATACCCTCAGAATGCTTCTCATTTATTGGGATTTAGGGTGATAGTTAATGACACTTCTTTGCTCCAGCTATCTAATCTTGTTTTTTCTATGAATAGCATTGAGACTATGTCTACATTGTCCTTTTGATCCAATACTTTGATCAGATCAAATCTGTAGGAAAAAAAGTCAAATGAATATTTTAACTGAATTACATAATTACTTGACTAGGTAATGGGCCATTTTAGTGTAATGAATAATTTGAATCACTGTACAGAAGTGGCTTCTTGCTTTTTCCACAAAAGCTAAATATCTAGTATTCAAATTGTTCTTTTATATGGCAGTTGGGTATGTTGGTTCGGGCTACTATCTTTTGTAACAATGTGGATAGTCCATTTGCTTTCAGGCATTCATTTAAGAAAAGGTATGCTTTGTAGGGATAAGAATGAAAAGAACTATGAAAAATTTTATTACGAAAAGATTTAGAAAGTGCCTTCCTCACAATTACTGGCATTTACTTTAGTTTCCTTTAGGTCAGATTAAACTCTGGGAGGCTAAAGTTGAAGAGGTTGACAGATCCTGTGATTCAGATGAAGATTATGAAGCCAGTGGGCGAAGTCTGTTATCCACACATTACACCATTGTGATCCACCCCAAAGACCAAGGTCCAACTTACCTCCTAATTGGATCCAAGCACGAAAAGGTATGTAAGGATTTACTAGTTGATTTAGAATGCTATAGATTAATGTCATTAAGTACTGGTACTTTTCAAATCAATTTTATGGAAGCAAGGAAGGGTCTTTGCTGAGGACTTTTAGCTCTGTTTTCAGAGCTTCTTTATATCCCTGGAAACGAACCTTGTTCAAATATGTCATTTTTCAGTCCTATTAATAAAAGTGATCTCAAGGCTGAAATTAGTACATGAAGGTGGAGAGCAAAGGGACTGCATGTTCAAAATGTGGATCTTGTAGACTGGATATATTGGGGTGAATCTAAAACTCCAGCTTATGTTTTTCATTGATTTTCAATAAAATTTTGGTTAGGTACAATTGAGAATAAATTACATTTATTATATGTATGTATAATCATCTTAGAAAACAGAAAATTTAATTTTAAAATATAAAATAAATAAAAATTAATTTGTTAAAAAAGATATCTCTGATGGGGAAGTAATGAATTATTCAATAAATAGTATTGTGTGTTCATCACATATAGAGGTAATTATTTAGAAAAACATTAGTTTTTCATATTACATATTTAGCAAAATAATTTTCAGATGAATTTAAAGAGTTAAATTAAAAAATTTTTATAGAGCCTTTATCTGATCTCTGAATAGAAAGTACTTTCTAAAAAAAAGGCAATGTAATTACAGTAGACATGTTGATATATATTTTACTACAAAAAATTGAAATACTTCTTTATATCAAATAAAATCGTAAGTGTAACTGAAAGGATAATGCAAAAAAAACCCAAAATATTTCATCGATGGCTATTATACCTTTAGTACATCAACAATTTACGAAGTATTCCTTTTTCAAGGCTAACTAATACTCCATTGTATTTATGTACCACATTTCTTTCATCTGTCAATGGACATGTAGGTTGCTTCCATGTGCTGGCTATTGTAAATAATGCTGCAGTAAACATGAGAGAGCAGATATCTCTTCAAGATAGTAATTTAATTTCCTTCATACATACCCAGGGGTAGACTTGCTGGATCATATAGTTCTGTTTATGTTTTTAAGGATCCTCCTTCTTGTTTTCCACAGTGGCTGCAACAATGACACTATACAAGGGTTTCCTTTTCTCTACTTGCTCATCAGCATTTGTTGTCTTTTGCTTTTTTTATAATTAGGCATTCTAATGGGTGTCAAGTGATATTCTGTTATGGTTTTGATTTGCATTTCCTTGATGGTTGGTGATGTTGAGCACATTTTCATACATCCGTTGGTCATTTGTATGTCTTCTTTAGAGAAATGTCTATTCAGTTTCTCTGCCCACTTTTTAATTGAATTACTTGTTTCTTTTTACTATTGAGTTGTAAAAGTTAGTTACATATTTGGGGTATTAACCCTTTGTCAGATAAATGATTTGCAAATATTTTCTCCCCATTTCATACATTACCTTTTTATTTTTGATGATCCCATTTGTTTATATTTGCTTTTGTGGCTTCTGCTTTTGGTGTCATATCTAAGAAATAATTGTCAAGGCTAATGTCCAAGACACTGCTTTGTTTTCTTCTAGGAGTTTTATGATTTCAGGTCTCATGTTTATTCCATTGATTTTTGTGTGTGGTATAAGGTGTAAATGCAATGAATCATTGTATTTTCATTCTTTTGTAGGTGAATATACAGTTTTTCCAACACCATATACTGAAGAGATTCTTCTTTCCCCATTGTGTATTCTTGGCACTCTCGCCAAGATCAGTTGACCAGATATGCATGGGATTTTTACTGGGCTCTCTATTCTGTTCCATTGGCCTATATGTCTGTTTTTATACCACTCCCACACTGTTCTGATTACTGTAGCTTTATAGTATATTTTGAATCAGGACATATGATTCTTTTGGTCTTCTTGCTAAAAATTGCTTTGGCTATTTGCCATCTTTTGTGTTTCCATATGAACTGCAGGATTGTCTTTTCTATTTCTGTAAAAATATGCCATTGAGATTTTGATAGGTTTTGCATTGAATCTGTAGATGTTTTGGATAGTATGGATTTTTAAATAATATTAATTGTTCTAATCCATGAACACTTTCCATATATTTGTGTCTGATTTAATTTTTCATCAGTGTTTTATAATATTTGGTGTGCAAGTCATTCACCTCCTTGATTAAGTTTATTCTGAAGTATTTTTATTCTTTTTGATGCTACTGTAAATGGGATTGTTTTCTTGATTTACTTTTTGGATAATTTGCTGTTAGTGTATAGAAGTACAGCTGACTCTTGTACATTGATTTGTGCCCTGCAACTTTGTGGAATCTATTTATTAGTTTTAACAGTGTTCGTGTGGAAATCTTCAGGGTTTTTACATTCAAGGTATGTCATCTGCAAACAGAGATAATTTTACTTCTTTCCAATTTGGATGCCTTTTATTTCTTTTTCCTGTCCCACTGCTCTGGCTAGGACTTCCAGTGCTATGTTGAATAGAAGTGGCAAAAATGGACATACTTGCCTTGTTCCAGATCTTAGAGGAAAAGCTTTCAGTTTTTCATCATTGATTATATTAGCTGTGGGCTTTTCTTATATGATCTTTATTACATGGAGGTAAGTTCCTTCTGTGTATTTTCTTTAAATTTTCTGGATCTCTTAAGTATTTTGTGTTACTTGTATGTATTCGGAGTCAGATTTTTAATTTGATAGAATTTACTGTATTTCTTAAGGGTATTAACTGATTGTATTCTAATCTCCTAACACTGTATTACTTTACATAATTTTATCATGCTTTTCTAAGAAACATCTGTAGAAAATAATAAAAGTGGGAACAATGGGAAAAGGTACTATGAGCCTGGGGAAGTGAGCCTCCTTCAGAACTGTTTGACTAAGTAGCTTTTAGTTATTATTTAAAAATTAAAGAGTTTTTTATTCAAGTGTCAAAATATTCTACTGTTTATGCAAGTTGTTTTTTTCCAAAAGTCATCAAAAACTATATGTCGGTTAACATCTCTATTAATATGTTTTGATTTTAAGGACACTTGGCTTTATCATCTGACTGTTGCAGCTGGAAGTAATAATGTAACTGTTGGATCTGAATTTGAACAACTTGTTTGCAAATTGCTAAATATTGAAGGGGAACCTTGTAAGTTTATAACATATAAGGCCTTATAGTTTATGACATTGACCCTAATCTCTTTAGCCTTTTCACTTCAAGGAATGTTTACCTGCAATGTACCCTTCTTTTCAATGGCTTTTCTTGTCATAGACCAGGATTCTCACTGTGGTTCTCAGACTCCACAGACACCATCATTCCCCAATAAGCCATATTTTGTGACACCTCTCTGCCTTTGCTCACATTACTCCCTCTGCCCAAAATGTCCCCCTTCCTTCACATTCCCTCCCCATCTGATAAAATCCTACCTACCTTAAGATCTCTCCCAGCCATGCCACCCCAGCTCAACATCGGGCTCAAAAAAGGTACTTAATAAATGTTAAAATCACATCCCAATGCACTTTGCCATATAACTTTTTTAGATTATTTGTTGCCTTACATTGAAATTATTTTTTATGACTAAGCTTTCCCTATTGAGAGTGTAAATTCTATGCTATGCTTTACATAATTACAGAGATCACATTTTTATTTGCAATATCTGGCATAGGAATTTTTAAAATGGTGATTTTAGGAATGACTTCAACTTTTTCTTTCCATCTCCTCCTACTCTGGCTTCTCCTTTCTAGATCTTTCTCCAGCTCCTTCTCATATATAGTCTCTCCCTACCTGGGTCATCAATCATTACCACTTTTAAACAACAGGAGAGGGCCCTGATAGACTTGTTTCATCCTAGAATATCAGGACCAAACTCTTCTAGACTTACTTTATCCAAAACAGAAACATGAGAATCCAAATGGCCTGGAACTGAAATAAAATAATGTTGCCAAAGGTTTTTTTTTTTTCATGACCTTTATGACTTCAAGTTGTGAGCCAGGCCTGAATGAACTAATTTCTAAAGGGCTAATTAATGAGAGGCCAAAAGAAGTGATTCTTTCTGTTTTCTGTTCTTATTTTATTCTGTATTTAGCCTCTCAGATATGGAGACACCCTACTTTGTGCCACAGCAAAGAAGGAATCATTTCTCCTCTGACAACACTACCTTCTGAAGCTCTACAGACAGAAGCTATTAAATTATTCAAGGTAGGATTTTATATGGAATTATATGTTGTCTAAAATTTTAATTGGATAAAATAAAAATAAATACTTCAAGTTATAAAGTTTCAGCCTTTCTAAAAAAATTCAAAATGTAATTATTAATATTATTAAGAAAATCTACTGAAATAAACAGGTGAATTTAATATGCTTTCTGAGTGAAGATTTGGGGTTTGCTGAAATAAACTGTGTATGCTTTAACCTATGTGAAACACTGTCAGAAGAATCATTTCCTCTTCAACCTCTCAAAATGGAGGGATTTCTCTCATCCCACCTACCTCAATTGAGAAAGGGGTCAACTCTCTTCTCTAATTCGTATTACTCAACTTCTATTTAGAAATCTCTGATTGCTTAAAACTTGGCATTCAACTATATCACTCTTTATCACCCCCGTCTCTCTTATCAGTCACCTTCTGGTATTGCTTCAAATTTCATTAAGGAGTTTGGCCCCCAGTTCACATTTTTTTTTCTTCTCTATCTCAAATCTTGCCATTTTGCTGAATGACTTTATTATTACCTCACTCACCAATGCAGTAGTCTTAAGATTCCTGACCTTCCCGGTGACAGTCAGCCTCACTTCTAGTCTACCTCACCTCCCCATTCTCCGTGTCCACACTCGGTCCTCACCGTTCCTTACAAGTACACCACCTCTCACAGCTTAAATTCTAATACATCTTTCTTTAACATAATCTCTTACCATACAAGCTCTCTTTTCTTACACTTGCATTTTTCATACTCACTAAGACCTTTGTTTTCAGACATTTATCTTCTTTGACATCAAGAGAGAACATAACTACCTCTTGGCTTTTCTTCGGTCATTATCCAGTCTGGATTGCTTTAATTAATACTCATAGTTCCCTGGGACCCATAATTCCATGGATTCTTCAGCCAAACCCTAACCTAGATCAATGCTGCTGGCTTGTCTGTGTCCACATTAGTCACATGTGCACTGCTAGAGAGCATCGAGCAACGTGTGGACTAAAGCCAGTACAAATCCATGCTCTTCATTCTTCAGGGCTCACTCTTATTTCCTTTGGCCTCTCTGTTCACATCCCCCTCAAGCTTCCTACTCAATAATGTTCCTCACAACAAACTTACCTTCTGTTCACTGAGAAAAATTAGAGGGAGCAGACATAAACACCTCAAGACTATCTCCCGAACACACACTCCTTCATCTATTGTCTCCTCCATTCCTTCAGTCTCAGAATACAGTGTTCCTTCCATGAATTTAGGTCTTGACTCCACATCAAGACTTGGTACCTCATTTTCCTCTCATCTCTCAGTCTCAATTTTTGTCTTTTTTATGGCTTCTTGCCTACATTCCTCCCATCTTAAAAAGAAGTCGTGCTAATTAGATATTATTAAGGAGTTATTGTTAATTTGGGGGCTATGATATGACATGATGGTTATGGAAAAAGAGATCTTTATCAATTGGAGATCCATACTGAAGTATTTACTGGTAAAATAACACAAACATTAAAATGCACACAAAAAATGTGTGGCAGGGGCTGGGGAGGGGTTGAATGAAGCAAGTTTGGCAATGCTAATAATTGTTGGCCCTGGGTGATGGTTATGTGAGTGATCATTATACTATTCTCTCTACTTTTGTTCATGTTTTAAAATTACCGTAATGGAAAATGTTTTTAAAAATTTACCTGTAGAATACACAAATACACAAAACAAGAAAGACTATATACAAGTGTATCTGAAAATCTGGATGATGTAATCAACTTTATAACAGAATATACAATATTGATTCCACAAGAGAATGAAAATTTGAACAGGGGAATTTACCAAACTTTTGTTAAGCACAGATAATTTCAGTGCTGTTTAACTGCACCAAAATATAGAAAAAGAAAGAAACTTTTCAAATTTTTTTTTCTTTTACTTATTTCAGAAAATTTCAAACATATATAAGAGTAGAGAAATATTATGAGGTCCAAGGTATTTATCATCCAGCTCCACAGTCATCAGCACATGGCTAGTTTTGTTTTATTTTCCCTATCCCCGCTACTTCCCAACATTGGAGTATTTTTTTATACAATTTTTTTACTAAGGTATTATTGATATACACTCTTATGAAGGTTTCACATGAAAAACAATGTGGTTACTATATTCACCCATATTACTGAGTCCCTCCCCAAACCCCATTGCAGTCACTGTCCATCAGTGTAGTAAGATGCCACAGTCACTACTTGTCTTCTCTGTGCTACACTGTCTTCCCAGTGATCCCCCCCACACCATGTGTACTAATCATAATACCCCCCTCAATCCCCTTCCCTGTCCCTCCCCCCCTGCCCTTCCCCACCCCTCTCCTTTGGTAACAGCTAGTCCCTTCTTGGAGTTTGTGAGTCTGCTGCTGTTTTGTTCCTTCAGTTACCAACATTGGATTATTTTGAAGCAATTGTCAGTCATCATATCACCAGATTTTTTGTGTGAAGTGAATGTTGCTTTGATACCAAACTCCAGAAATTATTACACAAAACAGAGTATTTCATTTTGCTAAGCTGATGGACAGTAACCTTAATGTGGTTGTTAGGGGGGACCTGATATAGGGGAGAGCATAGTAAACATAGTATTCTTCATGTAAGTGTAGATTAAAAATTAAAAAAAAAAAAAAGAAAGAAAGAAAGAA